GATTAGGAAGGGGAAGGAGACGATGGGTGCGGAGCGAATGCGCGCGGCGGCGAAGAAGCGAAGTGAGACAATGGGGCCGGAGGGAAGGAGCGCTGCGACGAAGAAGGGAAGGGAGACGATGGGTGCGGAGCGAAGGAGCGCGGCAGCGAAGAAGCGATGTGAGACAATGGGTCCGGAGGGGTTGAGCGCGTCGATAAAGAAGGGGAAGGAGACGATGGGTGCGGAGCGAAGGAGCGCTGCGACGAAGAAGCGAAGCCAGACGATGGGTGCGGAGCGAATGCGCGCGGCGGCGAAGAAGGGGAAGGAGACGATGGGTGCGGAGCGAAGGAGCGCGGCGAGTAGGAAGGGGAAGGAGACAATGGGACCGGAGCGAAGGAGCGCGGCGGCGAAGAAGCGAAAGGAGACGATGGGACCGGAGCGAAGGAGCGCGGCGATTAAGAAGGGGAACCAGACGAAGGGGCCGGAGGGGAGGAGCGCGGCGGTGAAGAAGGCGAACCAGACGAGGGGACCGGAGGGGAGGAGCGCGGCAGCGAAGAAGCGAATTGAGACGATGGGACCAGAGCGAAGGAGCGCGGCGGCGAAGAAGGGGAAGGAGACGATGGGACCGGAGCGAAGGAGCGCGGCGATTAGGAAGGGGAAGGAGACGATGGGTGCGGAGCGAAGGAGCGCGGCAGCGAAGAAGCGATGTGAGACAATGGGTCCGGAGGGGTTGAGCGCGTCGATAAAGAAGGGGAAGGAGACGATGGGTGCGGAGCGAAGGAGCGCTGCGACGAAGAAGCGAAGCCAGACGATGGGTGCGGAGGGGTTGAGCGTCGCGTCGAAGAAAGGACGCGCAACGATTGCCCGACGGAGGGCAGAGCAGAGCCCTGAGCGGTGGAAGGACGAGTGTTTCCATTGCCTGATGACTGGGCATGGGCACGAAGAGTTGGCGCGTCTTCTCACCTCCGCTCACTCGACACTCACTCAGCTCCTCTTGCTCTCGCAGTTCGGCAAGAAGATCGTCTATCGTCGACTTGGGGACAACCGCTGCTGCGAAAACTGCTGCGCGTTCGCGCGACGGAACAACGGCGTCCTGCCGTCGCACGAAGAGCTGGAGAAGACCCGTCAGAGGTTGCTCAAACGCAAGGAGAATCGCCTCAAGCGCCAGCGGGAGTCGGAGGAGGCGCAGGAGGGACGGGACACGAAGCGGGAGAAGAGGTCACGTTCGTCCGGTGCGCCTGCCCTGTTTCTCCGGCTCACCACGCGGCTCTCCTACCAAGCTCACACTCTCTTTTTCCTTAGATCCGGATTCGACCAGGCTGAGCGCCGGCAAGGGCGCGCCTACAAAGCGGCGGAAATGAGGCGGAGCAGTATGAGCAGTCTGCCCTTCCCTCTGATTCGCTCTCGATCTGCTCAACTTCAGCCTGCTCACGCTACTTCGCCTCCTCGAATGTACCTTTCTCCCTCGACTCGCTGGGCCCTCGAACAGACGCAGATAGTGTAGGTTGCGATCGAACAGTTTGTGTTGCGCGAAATCCTTGTTGACATTGGCGAGAGAGAGAGAGGCACGGTCAAGCAGCAGGACGAGGTAGACAGGCGAGGCGAGCAGCGCATCGAGTTTGCCCGTGTTCGAGCTGTTGAAAGACTCGGGGTAGACCACCTGAGGGACGAGGCCGAACGTTGTAATGAGCGAGTCGAGCATCGACCACTGGCCGCCGTCGTTCTCCGGCATGGTCATCAGGTGTTGGACGACGCGATCGTCGAGCGGCGAGTCGGCAAGGTCCAGCATTTGCTCGAGGAAGTAGTTGGCCTTGCTGAGCGAGTCCCAGAAGAACAGGTACGACTGGCTGAACTGGAAGTCGTCGAGGTCGAGCTTGCGCGCCAATGCGATGCGCAACAAGTTCGTCGCTGAAAACAGCCAGCATCGCCCGCTAGATTTCTGGTTCGTGATTGGCAGACCGCCCTCGTTCACCTTGACGTTGAAGAACTGCTGCGTGTCGCGCTGGGCGTCCCTCCTGACCAGCGAGTCCGTCAAAGCGGCCTTCGATAGGACAGTCGAAGCGAGCCTGTGCTTCGGCGACGACGCAAAGTCGCCCTCCCAGGCTGCGAGGTTCTCAGACGTGACCTTGGCCGAGGCGCGAGAAGCGGCGGACCCGCGAAGGGAGAGTTGGGAGAGGAGGTCGGCGGCCGAGGAGGGGAACGAGGCGCGTGTGCTCGAAGCGTGCTTCTCCGAGAGTGTAGGCTGAGGCGCGGGAGTCGACGCTGAGTTGCCCATGATTCGCCTGCTGGATTGGGAGGCTCGTCAGCTCGCGCGACGCCTCGGATAGGCTGCGATAGCGGAGATGTGGGGAGGGAGGAGATGGAGGACAAGCGGGAGACGGACGCTGTGCGGGGGTTGCTGGGTAGGTTGGGTCGATGCTGTGCGAGTGCGAGGGAGCTTGCAAGTATGCTCAAGCCGTAGCAAGACGAGAAGAGTGGGGCGAGGAGGCAAGAGGGGCCGGCGGCACGTCCGCGCGGTGTGTCGCTCGAGTCGGCAATCGCACGAGTGGTATGAGCGCCTCGATGTGAGCGCTTCCCCTCTCTTTCGTAGGTTTCGATGCTTGTTAGGTACTGTATTGCGCGGCGCAAAGAAAAGGGGGCCCGGTTCTACCTCTCGCACGTCTCGAATCGCCTTCTGGTCAGCCACCCGGCCCTCCAAGCTACTATTGCCGTGTTGTCACGACCGTGAGAGTGTCGGCGGAGTATCAGATAGAACCAGAGCTGTGAGCGGAAGAGCTGGAGCGGTGTCGACGAGGCATTGAGCGGCCGAAGCGAAGTCAGGCGTGAGAGAGAACGGCTCAGGCGACCTTCGGTGCCGGCAGCTGGATCAAGAGGCAAATCATCGAACAGTAGCGTGTTCTGATTGGGTCAGCGCATGCCTTGCGCAGAGCTGCAGGGAGAAGGCCGTCGCAGAATCATTCGACTCCCCGGTCCCGCAGCCAGCGTCGGTGGGGCTGTCCACCTTCACAGCGCAGCGAAAACCCTGTTCAGATCTGCTCATGCCACCTCGACAGCCCCGTAGCGCCGTCATCCGTCGGGCCGCCCCTCGACTGATGAGAGTCGCAAGTCGGGGTGGAGAGACGAGAAAGGTGTGGGAGCGGGCCGCAAGCGCGTGACGTGATCAAAGACAGCCCATTAGCTCAGCCCAGCATCTCAGCGAGCCGTCCAGCGCGAGTGATGGTGCGGTACAAGGTTAAGAGTCGACCTCGCCTCCCTCGTCCATCAACCGCTCACAATGGATCCAGCACAGGCTGCCGCGCAAGCCAAGTTCGCTCGTCTAGGCTTCTTCATTCTCCCTCTGCCTCGCGGATCCGACTTTGGCATCGACGGCCGGCTGTGGACAGTCGACAAGTTCTCGGTTCGTCGCTCGTCCTCACCAGGCGGAAGACTCTCTACTGACGCTTTGAGCGACGCAGGGCGTCAAGCTCCTCCCTCCCGGCTTGCACTTCTTCGTCTTCTCCGCCGCCCCGTCCGCCACACAACAAGCCCACCTCCCAGGCCCCTCCTCGCAAGGCGTCGCAACTCGGCATGGCATCCTCCGCTTCTATCGCGACGCCGAGACAGTCGTAGAAGAGTGGGACAACGTTCAGGAAGAGCTGAAGCGGGATGCGCTGGGGCAGGCGCCGAGGAAGAGACGGAGGAATACGAAGGAGGGGAGGGAGGAGACCGTCGTCTCCGAGGAATACCTCAAGAGCCTTGATAAGTCGCTTGCTGCGTACCCGCAGGACGATGTTGCGGCGCATTGGGCTGGCTTGACGAGTTTCGTGACGGAGGAGACGCTGGCGAGGGTCGTCGGGTTGGACGAACACGGCTGCGGGCTCGTCGACGCTCTCATGGGCAGCACGCTCGATGAGCGCGGCGCAGCAGGCGCGACGTCGGGCAAGCGGACATGGGGCAAGGCGCGTGAGGAGGAGCCAGAAGTGCGTGTGGTAATCGACGAGGACGAGGAAGGAAACGGCGTCTCGAATGAGCCCGTCTTGCTCGAGTTTGTCAAGTTCGACGTCAAGCGTAGCTGGCCCGAGGGTGCTGTCGGCGAAGCGTTGACACGGTGGAGTCGGGACAAGAGCTGGCAGCTGAGTCACGTCGTGCGCGAGCAGCTTGGAGACGGTGCGTTCGTTCGCCCACACTGACGAATTGTCTCGCTGACCTTCCTCACGGACAGACCCGAAGGAGCTTCTCGGCGAACTCCAACTCGCCTTCATCCTCTTCGCCCTCCTGCACAACTTCTCCTCCCTAACCGCCTACAAGGCCCTCTTTGCGCTCATCTGCCGCTCAGCAACGCTCGCCCAGCCGCCCTCTTCGCGCCCATCCTCTGCCTCTCTGCCCTCACCACTACTCTCGTCAGCGTCTCTGCCCCTCTTCGCCTCGTTCCTGTCCCTCTTCCTCGCCCAAATCCAGTTCCTCGAAGCCGACTTTTTCGCGACCCAGCTTCCCTCGCTCGAGCGCGACCTCCTCGACTCGCTCGCCGCCCTCTCCCAAGCTCTCTCCGACTCTCTCCCGCACTGGACTGCCATCGGCGAGAAGGAGCCAGGAACAGCAGGCGTGTGGAAAGAGGTCGTCAAGCGATGGGATGCCTTGGCGGCAGTCACGATGGAGCGGTTTGGGTGGGACTTGGGCGTCATCAGGGGTACACGAGCGGCGTACTTGGCGCAGGGCGGGCGGGTAGAGCGTGCGGAGGACGAGGTAGACCTGGAAGACCTCGAGGAGGGCGAGGATGCGCCGTACGTTGTCGACGACGATGGCTTGCGCGGCGACGACCACGACGACGAGTATTACTGAGCAATGCAAGGCTTGTACTGTGCACCTTGGCCGGAACAAGAGTCACGCTCGCCGTCGTTGCCAGCTTGGCGCGGCTCGTTCCCGTCGGAAGCCGGGCTTGCCCTCGACCACTCGCGCTCGCCTCGCTAAACTGCTCGAACGCCCGCGGAAGCTGTTTCGATAGGCTTCAGCAGTCCAGTACACCCGTCTGCACCGCGCCATCGCCCTCGCAGCCCGCCACGAGGTGCAACCAGCCTCGATCGCCCTTCGTCCGCTCTTCGCGCACAACAGCGGGTCGCGTTCGCAGTGGACAGCCGTTGTGAGGACGAATTTGGTGTGCGAGGACTGCGACATCTGCTGGGACCCGCGCGACTCTCGCTCGCGCAGGTGCGCACCGTCCAGCTGTCGACCCCGGACCTCCTCGTCGAGGGATGCCGCCGCGCTCACATCGCGTTGAAGGCTGACTATTTCACTCGTACAGCCTTTTTCGCATTGCCATACATCGCTACCGGCCCACCCGAGCAACCCGCGCTCTGTCTTTCGACCCCTCTTCATCCCGGCTCCATCCCTTCCCCGCCTTCACCCTTTTCCCCGACGAATACTGAACAGCCATGTCCAGCGCAAGCCTACGACTGACGGAACCCGTCGTCTTTCTCGTCGGCGGTCTCGACTACGAGCGGGCACGACAGCGACAACGGCGAGCGACGGCGCGGGCAGCGAACGCAGCGGCAGGGAATGGAACTGAAACGGCAGCTACTTCGCCCGCCGAATCTCGCAATCACTCCCCAGCCCGCCTGTTCTCCAACTCGCGCGCGGCGTCCCTCTCGCGACCTGGGTCGAGGGCAGCTTCGCCTGCTCCGCCGCTCAGTCGTGCCGCGATCCCGCAAGGAGACGACTTTGTCCCGCCAAACAGCCGAGGGCGTAGCTCGAGTCGGACGAGGCGCGTTGATCCGCCGCCACCAACCGGCCCTGCGGAGCCGCGACCCGGCGAGGGAATCAGCCGGGGACGAAGCGGGAGTCTCGTGAGGGAGATGACGGAGGCGCAGATTCGGTTGCGGGAACAGCAGGAGCACGAGGCTCTTGACGAGCCGCCTCCTGCGATGCTGAGGGGTCTCTTGACCGTCCACCTTAGCAAGCCGACGCGGGTGAAGGAGATCAGCGTGCGGTTCAAGGGTGTTGCGCGAACGGACTGGCCCGAGGGTGCATTCGCTCTCATCTAATAGAGAACTCTGTCGTCGTGCTGATGCATTCTCCTCGCAGGAATTGGCCCTCGCCGACTCGACGTGATGGAGGAGAACCTCCTCATCAATGTCACCAATACCTTCTTCTCTGCCGCCTCTTCCTCCATGAACCGCCGTGCAGCCTCCATCGGTCCCGGCTCGGGCGACCATGGCGAAGAGCCGCGAGGCCGGTCTTCGCGCCGTGCGGCCAGCGTCGCTCCCGGTCGTGAGCTCAGTCACGGCCGCTCGTACCCGCCAAACAGCCTCTTCCGCCAGCAGCCTTCACCCGTCACGTCCACTATCAGCGTTGGCGAAGTCTCCCGTGCACCGAACCTCTCGCGCATCGCATCGGAAGAGTCGGTCAACGGATTGGTCCCGCCAATCCAGCCAGGCGAAGCTGCACCGGCCTACGAGGTGGCAGTCGAATCGCAGCCTGGCTCGCCGATGCACCTGCCACATGCGCCAAACCTGTCGGTCGACACGCTCGACCTGGGTTCACCCGCTCAACTCGCCTTCCGCAACTCGTCGCGACAGTTCGACCGCTCGCCGACTCCGTCCCGCTCGCCTCTCGCCACCGCCAACCCTATCATTTCACCCTCGACTTCGAACCACGACCTCCGCTTGAACCGCACCTCGACTGGCGCAAGTCGACTCTCGCACGAATCGGGCTCGAGTCTCTCGACGCACTCGGACGAGACGGATCGTCCGCACCTCGATCGCCACGCTTCTTCGGGCGCCTCGACAGCCGCTTCGCAGTCGTCAGACTCCGAGATCAACGGCACAGGATGGAACAGTGCGCCTGTTCCCGGCACGGCCGCCTCGAGTATTCACCGCGGACGGCCAGCAACCCGCAGCCGGAACTTGATGGCGGGAATCGAGCAGCTGGGCGAGGACGAAGCCGGCAGTCTCGACGTCGTCACAAACGGCGTGTCTGGCATGACTTTCCAGCCCAAGTCCTCGACTCGACAGCCACCCGCACCTTCCGCCTCTTCCGAGCGAGGTCGCCGTGCATCGACTTCATCGAACGCAACTGCGCGCCGCGTCTCCTCTTCCGACCGACCGACCGCCCTTCCCAGCGCTCTCAAGAGCACCGGCAGCAGCAGCAGCTCGGCCCGCTCGGCGTCTCGCGGTGCGCGGTTCAGCCTGAGTGGCGTTACGGATGTCTTCCGACACAAGAGCTCGAGTCGCGCTCGTGACATGCAGCGAGACGAGTCGGTCGCCTCGACTACTCGACGAGACGCGAGTCCCGATACCCAGCGCGGCGGTTCGAGGATGCGCAGTCAGTCTCGCGGTCGCAAGACTGCTTTGAAGGCGCTGCGAGATGCGCTTGTGGCGGGCCATCACCACCATCACAATGCCGAGCGGGACGGCAGCGACGACGAAGGGCACCGGGACAGTGATGTCCTCGCTGTCGGAGACGGTTGGAAGGAGTTCCGAGCGGGAACGTATACCTACCCGATCTCCATCCCGGTTCCCGCCAGCTTGCCGCCGACACTGGACTGCGAGTTCGGACATGTCCACTACACGCTCAAGGCGACAGTGCACCGCGCCGGCGCCCTGACGACGAACTTGACGTCGTCGACCGACGTGACGCTCGTCACGACGCTGGGCGAGGAGGACACGGAGGAAAGCGAGAGTATCGTCGTCGAGAGGTTCTGGGAGACGCAGGTCAAGTATCACGTTGCGCTGAGCGGCAAGGTGCGTACGCCGAAGTACATCGTGACTTTCCACCACTGACCTCTCGTCTCGCTACAGAGCTTCCCCATCGGCGGCCAGATCCCGGTCAGCATCCGGCTAAACCCGCTCGCCAAGATCAAGTTGTACCGCATCACCGCCCAGCTCGAGCAGAAGACGTCCTACTTTGCTTCAGGTGAGTGCCGGTCTTACGAGCGACGCACGATGAGACTGACCTCCATCGCTCGCAGTCTCCTCCGGCCGCAAGCTCACGCGGCACGAGACGCCGAAGCGCTTCCAGCTCTTGCGTATCGAGAACAAGGATCCGAAGGAGCCGCTCTTGCCGATCTTGTCGGACGACCCGAACGTCCTTGCGAACCACCCCCTCAAGGACTTCTTCATCAACACGAGCTCGTCCAGCGGTAAGCCCCGCGAGTACCTCTGAAGTTGCTCACGCTGATTGTTGCCAACGCAGACGAAACGCCGTCGCTGCTGGATCCGATCGGCCCGTGGCACCTTGACGGCACGCTCCAGCTTCCCGACTGCTCGACGAAGCTCAACGTCAGCACGAACCACGAGAAGAGCAACATCTCGATCACTCACACGCTCAAGATCATGCTGCGTGTCGAGCGAGGCGACGACGAGTACCTCGACTCGAAGGGCAACCGCAAGGTGAGCGAGCAAAGTTTCTCCTCTGGAAACCGTCGCTGATGCCCCCTTCGCAGCTCTGGGACATTGTCGTCGAGGCTGGCGCCGTCATGCTGTCGTGTCACTTGTCGCAGAACGTCCTGCCCGCCTACACCGACGCGACCTCCTCCCTCTCTGGCTCGACTCGCCCACGTCGCAACACCATCACGGCTCGCACCCCGACACATACATGCGGCGCCGACCACGGTAATCGGCATCATGGCTTGCACATCAACGTCGGCGGCAGCTCGTCGACCGGTCGCTCGCACTCGTCCGGTCCGCCCGTTGCGAGTCTCGAGCAGAACCTTCTCTTTGCTCGGCTTATCTCGGGCGAGACGACTCCTGCGGGCGAGACGCCGCCTACTTATGAGGCTGTTGTTGATGGAACGGCGCCGGAGGGGCATGCGCCGAACGAGGCACGGGCACAGGTTGTTGCGACCGAGGAGGAAGAGCGGGGGCGCAGTTCGAGCAGGCGGGATTGAGCGGTGCTCTTGGCTCTAGACGGGGTTCGTAGTAGCTGTGTTTGTCTGTCTGCATCTCTCTGCAAATCATCGTGCTTGTATCGATGTCTCCGAACTCGCGTGATTGACATTCGTCTCTTCGCCTTCGACCGTTCCCGCCTCCCGCTTGCTTCGCCGGCTTGGTCCGTCAGAATGGTTCTCTCCGCACACTAGACTCGCCCTTTCTTTCGCCAGCCTCGCTCGCACGACTTCGGTCGCCTCCGACCCGCCCAGCAAGAGGCGATGGCAGTCCCGCTGCTCGCGCCGCCTCCGCCGCGCTTCCCGCAGAGGTTCTCCAGCGACGACGGGCCAGCTCCCAAGCCTTCCATACGGTCGAGCGGGCTGGAGAGAGCTGGGACGGGAGGATCGGATGGTCGGGGTGGGGACGAGGGAAAGGTGGTGTGGGAGATCAAGACGGACAGTGAGGAGCATGTCGAGCGTCTTGGTGTGTGTTTTTGCTCTCTATCTCCTCAATTGAGCTCACGCTGCTCCCGCAGAGTCGAAGTTGCGCCAACTTCGCCAACATCCCTCGTCCTCCGACTCGGGCTACGTCTCTCATCCTCGCTCCTTTGATCCGCCGGACGACCTGAGCGACGTCGAAGAAGCCTTTACGGCCGGCGAAGGCGAGGAGGAAGATCGGGAGGCGCTGAGTGAGGCGGAAGAGGAGGGACGACCGCTGCTGTCGGCGGCGCAAGAGCCGGGAGTACTCGACTCGACGCACCGGGTAGCAGGCGAGATGCTCCCTCCAAACGCCATTGACGATGATCCGATCGCCTCGACGTCGCAGCTCGTCCCTCGCGCCCCTTCCTCCCGAATCAGCTTCAACCAGTCTGTCCGCATCTCGAGCGGGATTCGCTCTTCTTCTCGCACACACCGGCACAGACACGCCGACCACTCTGCACCAGCCCCAGCCGCCACCGAACGAACCTCCCTCCTCTCTGCTCAGCCACGACCCATTTCCGCACCGTCCGACTTGCTCGTTCAGGCTGTCACACCGTCTCTTCCGCCCTCTCGCTCGACGTCTCCCGCTCCTCCTCGCTCACGACGAGCATCGATGTCCTCCTCTCTCCTCAGCACCTCCTCCTTCGCGCACGTCCACTCGCCTTTTCCCTACTCCAGCTCTCCCACCTCCTACGGCGCATCCCGCTCCTCCTCACCGTGCTCGTCCATCTACGCCCCACTCCAACCACCTTCGAACCATTGCCCAAACCCGATGTGGGTCCGCCCAGCCGGTGTAGGCGCTCTCCGTCGCACAAGGTCGGGCAGCAGCCTGTCTTTCCAGGAATTTTTGCGCAACGGCGGACGCTTTCCGGATGATGAGATGGAGGACAGCGATGACGATGAGGAGTACGTCGATCCAGTCGCGGACGACGAGCCTCGAAGACTCGAGTACCGCGAGTTGGTGGAGCAGCAGAGGCTGAAGAAGGCGCGGTGGGAGGCGCGCAAAAGGCAGAAAGAGGCGCAGCGACGACGTGCTGAGTCGGCGCAGGACGAGGAAGAGCACAACGCTTCGGTGTGGGACAAGCTGGGAAGTTTGTTGGCGCTTGGAGTGGGCGGGAGAGGGTCGGCGAGGCCTTCGCCGTCGCTGGCAGGCGGAGCGGTGGACGTCCTCCGCCAGCAGCAGCATCAGCGTCGACGACCTTCGCCTCTCGCTCACGGATCGTCCGCAGACGAAGGAGACGACGCCGCGTCCCGCTCTCACCGCCGCCAACCTCGCCGCCAACCCCGTCCCGAACCGACGCTCAAGACAGAAGCGGACGTCCGCTTCGGTCCCGCTCCGGGTCGGTACTTCCGCCTCGACTGGCTCGTATACAAGCTCAAGCATCTCGTCGAGGCGGCGAAAAGGGCGCTCAGGACGGCGCTCGTCGGGTTTGAGCGGAGTAGGCGGCCGAAGGAAGAGGACGGGCGGCCATCGCTGGTTGGGTACGGCGCGGTGTGACGGATGTTGGTGGATGGGAGTCTCGTGTAGCACTAGGACACCGTGTAGCTTTCAGTACGCTCGAAGGGACAGTTTGTTGCTCATGCGCTCATGCACGTGAATGACGAGGAGGTTCCCCGCTTCGCTGGACTTGCGCAGAGGTCTGCGTGGTTGCAGCAGCACGACGCCAGTCGTACGCAGTCCTGGCAGTGCTCCACAGCGCCCGAATGAGAGGATGACGATGCGTCGTCGTCGTCGAGGCGGGCCACTCGCATCTTGTCCCACGCCCTCGCACACGACTCGCTCACCCGCACCGCAAACACAGTGAGTGCACCCAGCAAGACTATCCAGAGGCTCCTGCTGACATCTACGTCCTTGCAGTCCAACCCGTGAGTCTCGCGCTGGCCTCCCCGACCTCCCCGAACCCGCCTCTCCCCGCCTCGCTCAACCACCGCACACACACCGCGCGCGCGGGTGGGACCTGGTGCACAGGGTAGCTGAGGAGTCGTACAGGCTGTGGACGGAGCTGGACGGGTTCAAGCAGTCCCGTTGTCGCGCGGGAAAAGATCGCTTATCCTGTCCCCCTCTCGTCGTCTCGTCCCCTCTCTCGTCATCGACTGCGGCTGTCGCTCGTCTCGTCCACCGCGCACCGCTCTTCCTCCTTGACCAGCAACAGCTTCAGCTCAGCAACAATGGCAACCGCCCAGCAAAAGTTCGACTACTACATCTCGCAGGTTGACAAGGAGGTCAGTCGCTCGTCATCAAAAGGATGCCCAGCTCGCATCGCCTCGTCTCGCTTGGAAACTCGTTGCTGACTGTCTCTGCCCTTCCCACAGCTCTCGAAGTACCCTGTGCGTGCGCAGCGTGTGCATTCGGAGATCCCGAGCTGACCTCCATTTGCCCGCAGACCCTCAACAGGCTCGAGGCGCAGACTTCCATCCCCAAGGCGTACGCCGTCCTCGGTGTCGGCGCCCTCTTCTCCACCTTCATCTTCTTCAACATCTTTGCCGGCTTCCTCTCGAACCTCCTCGGCTGGGCCCTCCCCGCCTACTTCTCCCTCAAGGCTCTCGAGTCCCCCGGCCATGACGACGATGTCCAGTGGCTCACCTACTGGGTGATCTTCGGGTCCTTCACCTTCATCGAGAGCCTCATTTCGGTCGTCGCATGGTACGTACCGTCTCAGAACCGTCGAAGCGACCTTGGGCGACCGCTGACCCTCCCGGACTCTCTCCTCCGCTTGCACTCCCGTTGCGCCCGTTTCTGTCGCAGGTTCCCTTACTACTACGTCGTCAAGTCCCTTTTCATCCTGTACCTCACCCTCCCCTCGACCCGCGGCGCCATCGTCGTCCACGACAAGCTCTTCAAGCCCCTCCTCACCCAGCGCAAGACCCCCGCTACCTCGACCACCACGACCACCCCCGTCGCTGCCGCTCAGTAAATCTCCCCCCTCTCGCTCGTCATTGTAGCCGATAGGCTCTCGCCTCATACGGACGAATCACCCCCTCGTCTCGGACACACACCTACCCTCTGCTCTTTCCGACCTTTCCCGTGCTCCGCCCTCGCCCTCCTCACACTACATAGTGCCGTTTCTTTACCCCTACAACCTCCTCCTCTTGTCGATTCTCCCTTCCGCGAATGACACTAAAGCAGTTCTTCCCTCACTTCGCCGCGCTCACTGCTTGGCTTCGAGAGATGCCCGCTGGAGATGGGCAAGCTGGAGTACAGTACAGGTCTAGATAGGAGAGATGCAAGAGGATCTACGTGAAGCGAGGCAGGCATGCAAGTAATACAATGACAAGGGGAGAGCAAACTTCAGATCCGACACGAACGCACAGCGCACAGCACGGGCACACTCAGAACGACAACCCCATCCTCCTTCGAATCTCCTTCGCGACCGCCCTCCTTTCCTCCCTCGCTCCGCCACGCCCGCTCGTCGGGTCCCCCTTGAGGATACTCTGGTTCTCGTTTGCCCGGCGGATGAGGTACGGCAGGCCTTGTTCGAGGTTTGCGTAGGGGGTGTATTTGACGACGAGAGGGAGGAGGGAGGGGTCTGCGGAGGACGGCGGAGGGCGGAGGAGGTTGACGAGCGTGATGGTCAGGTTGTCGGACATGCCTGCAACGTGCGGTCGAGTCTCGTCAGTCACGGAGCGTCCTCATCGATTGCGAGTCAAGGCAAACGCACCCATGAGCTGGCCGAAAGCGACGCGGCCGCGCAACCGCTCGTCGACCTCGAGCCCGCCGTCCATCTCCTTCGCAAGACCGTCTTCCCGCAACGCCTCGAGGAACCGCTTCATGCTCGTCCCGTTGTGACTCGCAAGACAGACGCCAACGCCAGCTGACGACCCTTCCTTCTTGAGGTTCTCGACGAGACGCTTTTCGAGCAAGGCGGCGCACTCGTCGTAGCACTTGTCCGTCTCGGCCTTCGAGTCCCACACGACGCACGGCTCGCCCGCCTCAAACGCCGGCGTACCCTGATGCCGCTTCCGCTCTGACTCCTGGTACGCGCCGCGAACGAGCTTGGCACCGAATGCGTACCCGTTCGCATCGGCGTGCTCGAGTGCGGCAGCGATCTTGTCGGGCGTGTCGCGGCGGTAGCACTGGTAGGTGTTGTAGACGATCGGTGCGGCGGAGGGCGAGTCGAAGCGATTGAACTCCTCGCTGAGGAGGTCGCAAAAGCGGTCGATGGCAGGCTGGAACCAACTCTGCTCTGCGTCGACGAGGAGACGGACGCCGTGCGTGCGAGCTTCGGACGCGACCTTGCGCAGGCCGTCAAAGAGCTTGTCGAGGAGCTCGTGGTCCTCGGCTGTGAGCTCGGGAGCGTCGGGGAAGGGGATGGACGAGGGAAGGCGGCCGCCTCGGGCGACCGTCGTGCTGCTCGTGAGTGCCGTCGAGGCGCGCGCGAGGATGGAGGCGTCGTAGATCAACCCAGAGAGCTTGATGGCGAGGAGAGAGGGCTTGATAGACGAGGCGGGAGCAGAGGGAGCGGGCGAAGGCGCGAGGCGAGCTGCCTCGGCGACGGCGGTCGTGATCTCGTTCAGCGCGGCCTGGTCGATTCCTCCGCCCGACTTGGCAGACCCGAGAGGCGCTTCTGCGCTGTAGTTGAGCATCACGCCAATCTATCGCGCAGGAAAAGCGTTAGCCGAAGGGTATCGCGACGAGCCGAGGGAGCGATACGTACGCCGCGCTCTGCATACTGCTTGACAGTCTCTGCGCATCCTGGCACAGACTCGCCACCGACAAAGACCTTGTAAAAGGTGTGGTCCATGCCCTGCGAATGCGAAAGGTTAGCCTCCTCCCTTCGCAACGAAGGAAGTCGACGCACGAAGGCAAAGACCGCCCAGACGGCAGGGCCGAGGAGAGGGATGTTGTCGTTCGCCCACTGCAGCTTGCCGAGCATCCACGGTCCCATCTCGACGAGCATCGACTGCTCCGAAACCGCGTAGACGACCCATTGACGAACGAGGTCGGACAAGTTGGCGGCGGTCAGGTGGGCGGTCGTGCGTGCGAGGACAGATGGGTCGAGGGCGGAGAGAGGGTCGTTCGGGTTCAGGTGCGCAGGGATAAGGGGAGTGTCGTCGGAAGAACCTGACGAGGCGAGAAGTGCACCTCCAGCGACGACAGCGGCGCCGGCGGCCAGGGCGATCCGTCGGTTCGAGTTGGCGGTCTTCCCGAAGGGGTTCTGCGCCGCCTTAGTCGCATCCGAGGCCAGCGAGTGGGTCGTGCGCGGAGGTCGGGAGGAGTGAAGTCGGCGAGCGATGTTCTTGCCAGTGTCGCGCGCGACGTGTGAGGGGGCCTGGCGGGCGAGAGCGTGCACTCCGAGAGTCGTCGAGCGGAGCATCGTCTGGCAGAGCGAAGAGAGTGGATGAGAAGAGCGCTGGAGGAGGAAAAGGAGCTTCGGCGGCCGCACACCGCGAGTATCGCGATTTGCGTTGGCCGAAAAGACAGGGTGCAATCGTCGTGAGCCGATGCAAACCGAGAGAAGGACTACCAGATCAAGCAGGTCGAGCCAGAAAGCCTCGAACTTGGCCAGGTAAACTTGGCCTTCCTAAGCGCCGGCAAGCCAGTGCGCTCGCTCGCTGGAATGCCCTTGTCGTCGTTCGGGCGCTTCCATCGACGTCTGTAGCTCAAAAGGCTCCTGCCGCGCCTCGCAGAACGGCGCAGCGATGTCAAGAGGTGACGCCGCAACGCCTTCACACTTTTCGAGCCAGTTCGCCTTATCGCCTCGTTGCTCGAAGGCCCGGGCTAAAGCGGCTGTTGGATCTCGTAGGTGATTCGATGCGCGCATGGGAAAGGCGCAAGGTGAGCCAAAGACGAGCGAGGCGATAGTAAGATTCAAGTCTGGCATCGCAAGTCGCTACGGTGGATGAGAGCCCCCTGCGTTGTAGTGACCAGGTATGCGCCGTTGTCCGTCAAAGGTTACTCTCTGAGTGAGCAGAGACATGCAAGGCAAGCGAATAGACGAGGCCGGACGCGTAGTCGCGAGCGTTGCAATGGTCGCTTCGCTCCCGCGCCCGCGACCTTCGATTGCTCTTCGAGAACTCGCAAAGCAGTGGAGCCGGACCACAGCACGGCGGTAGCGACGGGGGTTGTCGTGGTGGTCGAGGTTGCGGGGGTCTTGCGCTGGACGAGCAGGGGCTTGAAGAGCTTGTCGTGGACGACGATGGCGCCGCGGGTCGAGGGGAGGGTGAGGTACAGGATGAAGAGGGACTTGACGACGAAGTAGTAAGGGAACCTGCAACGCAAACGAGCGAAAACGAGGTGTGGAAGGAGGCGAAGATTCGGGAGGTCAGCGGTCCGCCAAGGTTGTTTCAACGGTTCTGGGTCGTTACGCACCATGCGACGACCGAGATGAGGCTCTCGATGAAGGTGAAGGACCCGAAGATCACCCAGTAAGTGAGTCACTCGATCTTCGCCGTGGCCGGCGGATTCGAGGATCTTGAGGGAGAAGCAGGCGGGGAGGGCCCAGTCGAGGCGCTCCCAAGAACAGCAATCTCGTGCATTCGGGAAAGGAGCGGGAGAGAGCTGCAGCGGGAGAAGCGAAACCAAGGCGAGCTCGCCAGACCAGTCTCTCTCTGCTCCAGGCCGTATGAGGTGAACTGCGATTGACAAGCTGAAAACTGACGGGGTGAAGAAGCGAACGAAGGTGGGGTAACGTGGCTGAGGAAGAGAGGGAAGGGCAAGACGAGAGTCGGAAGCGGGGACGGAGGGTATCGACAAGAAAGGATGGCGGACGAGTCGTCAAGACATGGGTCAAAGCTAGAGCAGGCACCGCCTACTGCAATCCGTTGGTCGGTGCGCCACCGTGAGGCGTGAGAACGGGGTGCGGCTGGCCTTGCTGCGGGATGGGCGACTGAGGCTGAGAGGGAGGGAGCGGAGTCGACGAGTTCGAGTGCTGCGCGTCGGCGAGGCGAGCCTCGAGCGAGCGGAGGAGCTCTTCCTTCGCGAGAAGCTCTTGCCTGCGCTCGGCAAGTTCGCGCTGAGTGCGGAGCTCGAGCTCGCGCAGCTTGTCCTCTGTTTGCAGGCAGGGTCGATCGGTCAGTCTCGTCGCCTCAGTGCTGTATGGGAACTTGGACGCACCCTCGCGTTTGAGCTGCTCCTCCTTGATGCGCACGCTCTGCGTCGCCAAGTCCTCGGGGTTGACGCTCGCGTCCTGGCCTGCTCCGTACCCGGCGCCCATTGAGTCGCCGACGAGGCTGCGAGACAGCTTTTCAGATCGGAACGTCTCGTAGAGGAAGTCTGTGTCGAGTCGGAATGCGTGCGAATCGAGAGCAGGAGAGGAAGTGAGACAAGCGGCGAGTCAGTGCCGCTCCTCTTTGCTCGTGGGCGCCAATTGACGTACCGTGCTGTCGTTCAAATCCAACGGCGAGGGGAGGTATGCGTGCAGAGATGGAAGAGGAGAACGGAAGTCAGCGCTGCAAACATCTCTCTCCAAAAATCGCCTCGCCGCACCGTGATCTCCTTGACGTCGTGGAGGTGGGTCTGGAGAAGAGCGGTACGAAGGCGCTGGAAGTCGCTGTGCTGAGGGTTGTCGACCTCGACGATGCCCCACGGATACCGCCTCGCGCGGACGGGCTGGCCGTTAACCTCGACTTCCTCCTCGGATCCGACGATGGCGAAAGGCATGAGCGCCTGCGTTACGCAACTGGTCAGCTCTGCGCAATCGGCTTGCGCTCCTGTACGCACCCTGAGCTCGCTGTTCTCCTGGATCGTGTCCTCGTCGTCCTCCTCGGCGTCGTAGGGGAAGTTGTAAATGGGGATGCTGTAGTACTCGATGTCCTCCATCACGCGGCGCTTGAAGTCGTGCAACTCGCTCGGGGTGAGCGAATCGGCCTTGCCGATGACGGGGATGACATTGACGCGAGGAGCGAGGCGGCGCATGAGCTCGATGTCGAGTTCGCGGAGGCTGGGCGATGATCGTGGTCAGCGCGCCACTACCCTTCAGGCCAACAAGCCGGACTCACGCGTGACCGGTAGGCGTGATGAAGTAGAGGAGAGCGTGAACGCGGTTGTCGCGGAAGCGAGGGTTACGCTTGATCCTGCTCTCCTCGGCAAGGATGTCGTCGTACTGCCGCTCGAGGTAACCCATGATCTCGTTGAAGCTGGTGAGATCCTGATCGTCAGCTCGGGTCTGTTTTGCGGCAGCAGGAGGGGACACACGTGAACTCGTTGTCAATCTGGTCGCCAAAGCCAGGCGTGTCGACGACGGTGAGCGAGACGCGAACGCCGTCCTCCTCGAGCTCTGTGGGATCGTAAGGGTGTCAGCTCGTGGTGGTTTCGTGACCACACGCTCATCCACTCACCGACTTGGACAGGGTTGATGCGGATGCCCGACTCGAGGTGAGCCTCCTCCGGCGCAACCGGCTGCTGGTGCTGGATGAGTGGCTGCTCGCACAGCGTGTTCACGAAAGTCGTGCGGCCGGTGCCGGACTGGCCTGTATGCGCGCGGAAGAATCGGTTCAAGGTCAGCTAGAGGAGCGGGGGAGGCGCAGGGTGCCGACACCGCTGTGGCAGTTCGAACGCGTGAAGGAACGCACCGACGACCATGATGGTGAGCTGCACGCCCTTGACCTTGCGCCTGGCGGCGAAGCTGGAGGGTCCTGCCATCCTGCGAGTCGAGTTGGAGAGTATCGAGGCCTGGTCGCCGAGAGGGGTGCTGGTGAATCCGCTCATTCAGCTCCTGTGCTCTAGAACGCGCTCTGGGACAGCCTCGAGTTCAGTAAGGGGGCACAGCGCGTGTGCGACGGCGGAGAGATGGGCGGGTGAGGTGGAGTGCTGTGGGAGAGGGAGGACAGGACTCGAGAGAACGCCAGACTCACTGTGCGAGACGTAGCGAGGTCCGTAGCAGCTTCACAAGCACCGGCAGCCAATGCCACGCTTCAGGACGACGAGGATCGACCACACTCGCCAACTCCTCTCCGAAAGTCGACCAGGAGGAGAAGCGGCCTGAACACACTGGAGCAGTGCTCCTTTTGCAGAATGCGAGACGCAGAAGTATACCAAAGCTAGAAGTCTACAACAGGGTGCGGAAGCCGAGGAGAGCCGTCGAAAGACGAGGCAACCTCCGAGAGATCCGTCCGTATACCGCCATCCACTCCTCTCCTCCGTTGTGCGAGACGCCTCAAGCCTGCCCAGCCTTCTCCTCCGCAGCCTTGCGCTTGATGAGGTTCAGCGCCGAGCCCTCGCGGATCCACTCGACCTGGTCCTTCGACAACCCGTGAACCGTCTTGATCACCTTCTCCGACCCGTCAGCCTTCTTGACGACGACGTCGACGTCGGCATTGAGGTTGCCTCGAAGGAGATCGTCGAGGCCGCGAGTCGAAACGACGTCGCCGGCATCGATGAGCGAGTAGTCGGCATCGTTGGCGAAGGTGAGGGGGAGGACACCCTGCTTCGTCAAGTTCGTACGGTGAATGCGGGCGAACGAGCGGGCGAGGATGACCTTGCAGTTGAGGAAGCGGGGCTGCAAGGACGCGTGCTCGCGAGCCGAGCCTTCGCCGTAGTTGTGCTGCGGCAGGCGAAGCTGTCAGTGTTTGAGCGACGCTGGAGGTACTGAGCGCCCACGCACATCGGTGACGATCATCCAAGGCTGTCCTCGCGCCTTGTACTTCTTCGCAACCTCCGGGATCGTGCCCTCCTCGCCGCTCTCAAAGTCTATCGCCGAGTTGACGCGGCCGGTCTGGTCGTTCGTCGCGCCGATGAAGGTGTTCTCGCTGTGAGCCGTCCACGCACAGGAATTAGCGGGCCATGCTCGAAGGCGTGGAAGAGGCGGGACACGGTCGCGACGTACGCGAGGTTCGAAAGGTGACCCTTGTACTTCAACCACTTGCCCGCCGCCGAGATCTCGTCGGTCGTGCACTTGCCCCTGATCCTCAACAAGCACCTCAAGTCGTCAAACTCGAGCTTCTTAGACGAGTCGGCGAAAGCCTCGGGAGGGAAGTGAGGCTCGAAGGGTGCGAGGAGCTCGAGGCGGGTCGAGGTGGGAGAGATGGCGAGAGGAGTGGAGGGGACGGGTTCAGGAGTAGGGCGAGGGAGGTAGGTCGTGTTGCCGGCGGTGAAGCCAGACTGGGGTAGCTTGTCACCAGTCGGCGGGTCAAACTTGAAAGGCTTGCCCTCCGAGTCGAGTAGCTCGTCGTGTCGCGGGTCGAACGAGAGCTTGCCGGAGAAGGCCATCGCGGTCACGATGTCGGGGGAGGCAAGGAAGTTCATCGTCAAGCGGTTGCCGTCGTTGCGAGCCTTGAAGTTGCGGTTGAACGAGGTGAGGATGGCTGTGGAGGTCAACAATCATGAAGATCGTCAGCCAACGCCGTTCAGCGATAGGAAGACGAGGCAGCGGAGCGACGACCCACCGTTCTCCTCGCCCTTCTTCTCCTCGCGCTCCCACTGACCGATGCAGGGTCCGCAAGCATTCGCAAGAACCTGACCGCCGACAGCCTCGAGGTCCGCCTTGAGGCCGTCGCGCTCGATGGTCGCGTTGATGAGCTCAGAGCTGCGAGGGACGCAACGGTGAGACGCGTGCACGAGAAGGGAGAAAGGCACGAGGACGCACCCGGGCGTGACCATGAAGCTGCTCTTGACCGAGAGACCCTTGGCCTTTGCCTGCCTCGCGATACTCGCCGCGCGCGCCATATCCTCATACGACGAGTTGGTGCACGAGCCGATCAACGCCGCGCTCAACTCGTCCTTCCACCCCTTCTCCTTGACCAGTCCGCCAAACTTGCTCAGCGAAGTACTCAAGTCAGGCGTGAAAGGTCCGTTGAGCTTCGGCTCGAGCGTCGAGAGGTCGATCGAGACGTGTTGATCGTACTCGCAGCCCTTGTCGGGCGAGAGGAACCCTGCGGCCTGCGCCTTGTCCGCCTCGTCCGCGACCGGTCCGCGGTTCGTCGCGTGCAGGTAGCGGCGCATGTTGTCAGAGTAAGGGAAAGTCGAAGTCGTAGCGCCCATCTCGGCACCCATGTTGGCGATGGTGGCGAGTCCGGTCGCGCCCATGCGCTCAACACCTTCGCCGTAGTACTCGATGATCGAGCCCGTTCCTCCTCGAACCGAGAGACGGCCGACGACCTCGAGGATGACGTCCTTGGCCGAGCACCAGCCCGACAGCTCGCCCTTGAGCTCGACACCGATCAGCTTCGGCGCCTTGAGCTCCCAGGGCGTCGCAGTCATCGCGTCGACGGCGTCAGCTCCTCCGACACCAATCGCAATCGCGCCGAGACCGCCAGCGTTGGGCGTGTGCGAGTCGCAGCCGAGCATAAGGAGACCGGGAGCCGAGTAGTCTGCAAAATGGGACGGAGTCAGCTCTGCTCGACTACTCTGTTGATGAGCGCCGATCGAGAACTTAAGGCCGCACCCCGGCGCAACAAGGGAGCAGAGTGTGGCCTGATGAGACGAAACTCACTCTCGAGGACAATCTGGTGGATGATACCACTGCCCGGGCCCCAGAACTCGATGCCGTACTTCTTCGCCGCCGACTCAAGGAAGTCAAACACCTCCTTGTTCGACATGACGGACCTCTGGCATGGTGAAACACAGGCTGTGAGCGAAGTTCTCTCGCAAGGATCCGCAAGGAAGAGCGACGAGCTCCACCGGCTGAGCTCCGGACCGCTCGCTCACCTTCAAGTCTGCCTCTGCGCCCTCGTACGCCGAGATCAGGTGGTCGCAGTGGATCGAAACGGGGACGGCGGTGGCTTCACGGCCGCAAGTCGAGAATTGGAGGATGGCCATCTGGGCGGAGGCATCTGCCCGGGTGTGCGACGGTTAATTCAGCTCTCGAGGAGTACAGAGAGCGAGCGCTACGCACCTTGCAAGGCGACACGGTCTGGGCGGAGCTTCAAGTGCTTCTCGCCGCGGATGGGGTCTCCGCCCGCGAGTCCCTCCTCGACATTGACGAGATGGGAGTAGACAATCTTCTCGGCGAGCGAGAGTGGCCGGTTGAGGACCTTGCGGACCTGCTCGAGCTGGCGGAGGAGGTGAGGGTACGGCGGCGTGATGGACTTGAAGTCGCGAGGAGGCGGCGGCGGGTACGACGAGGTGTGCGTGGCGAGCGAGCGCGAGAGGCGCGCGTGTGCGACTCGCTGCAGCGGTCTCCTGGCGTGCAGCATCCTTTCCCAGCGAGTAGAGCGAGGCGGACGAGGTCGAGTGGCTGCCGGCGATAGCGGAGCGAAAAAGATTCGCAACGAGACTCATTGGCTGGGGCAATGAAGGGCTTTCTAGGATTCACTGGGATGAGCAGGCACTCGTGCAACTCTCGAAGAACTCGCGGAAGAAGAGGGAGAGCGCTGCAGGAGGTTGCGGGATCTATATCGACATTCGTTTGACGAGGGGCACCCGGTTACACATGCACAGTCTTGCCGCCTGCGCGCAGTCGCTCCTCAAACTTGGCAAACTCGTCTTCCGCAACCGCCTCTTCGGGACCGAGGACCTGCGGGAGACGGAGGAGAGAAAATCAGTTTCGAGGAGGAGCGACGAGTCGGCGGTCGACAAACGCACCTGCTCAACCTCCTTGACCTCTGAGCGCGCGAAACGTTACAGACGAACAGAAAATCGCTCAGCTCGAGCGACTGCAACCGGGCAAAGATCTCGCGTCACGCACCAGGGATGTAGTGCATGAGCATGCGCTCGATGCCGCTCTTGAGCGTGACCGCCGAGCTCTCGCAGCCCCTGCAACTACCCTTCAGGCTCAGCTTGACGACGCCCGAGTCCTCGTCGAACCCTCGGTACTCGATGTCTCCTCCGTCCTCCATGATGGCCGGCCGAACCCGCGTCTCCAGCAACTCCTTGATCATCGCGACGACCTCGGTGTCGGTGTCGAGAATCCGCGTGTCCTCCGCTCCGCTTTCCTTGCCCTCCTCGAAGAGTGGTCGGCCGGACGTAAAGTGCTCCATGATGATCGAGTAAATCTCGGGCTTCAACTCGCTCCACTTGGCATCCACAGACTTGTTGACCGAAATGAAGTCGGGTCCGAAGAAGACGGAGCGTACGTCGGGGAGGTGGAAGAGGCGGTCGGCGAGAGGGGAAGAAGCGGCGGCACCGGCATCGAGGAACTCGTGTGTGCCCGTAGGCGACACGGCCTGGCCGGGGATGAACTTGAGCGAGTCGGTGTTGGGCGTCGTCTCGGTCTGGATGAACATGGTACGGCGCTGCGAGCCTGTCCATCCGCGAACGGAACAGTCGAGATGAGGTCAGCCGAGGTCGAATGGGCACGCCACGCTGGCTTGAGGGAGGGAGTGCGCGCACCTGCGAGATGCCATGCTGCCGGAGACCTCGCTGAAGCCAACCGCGGCCTGCTCAACGTCGAGACGAGCGAGGAAGAGGCGGCGGCGAACGAGCGAGTCGAATGGAAGGAGCGGGCGCCCGCGGTCGCAGTTAGTGCGGCCGGAGTGGCTCGGATGCACAGTGCGCGTGCAGTGCCAGCAACGGCGGTACGAGCAGCAGCAGGAGACGCCATGGTGTGTGAGGACGAAGGGAGAGTCGCTCGGAGAGAAAGAATCGGCAAGGCGTCGACTGGTCAACTCGCTCTGTTGGGGCCAGGAATGTCGGATTGCGCTATTTGAGAGTGTACTGGGAATTGTCCTATTGTCTACGCAGCACCCGGAGGGAGTTGATGCCCTGTCCGCTTCATCGAACCAACTCTCTCACTCAATCTCACCTGGCCAACACGCTTGACTGGACTCGCTGAAGCGCTGCTGGACTCCACACAACCGTTCTCACGCCCTTCTGACCGCCTACGCCCGCGCACACCTCCTCCTTCGGCTCCCCACCCCTCTCCCGCTCGATGTCGCGAATCGCAACAAAACGGCTGCAGAAGGAGCTCGCAGAACTGCAGCAGAAGGGTCCGCCGGCGGGGTGCAGGCTGATACAGGCGGAGAACTTGGAGGAATGGGTCATTGCGCTGCAAGTCTTGGGCGAGAGTGTCTACGAAGGGGGTGAGTTCGCTCGCTCACTAATTTGTTGAATTGCTCCGTTGACGCTTTGACGTGCGCAGAGGAATTCGCACTGGTGCGCAAGCGTTCATCGACAAGACGAACACCAGAAGCTGATTTGCCCTCCCCTTCGCTTCTTTGCCTATACTCTGCGTGGACCGCAGCGCTTCCGTTTCTCGACCAGCTATCCCATCGACGTGAGGACACGCTCTTTGACCCCGTCACGGCGACTCGTGCTGACTCGCCGGTCGTTCGCCGGTCGTCCTCGCAGTCCCCCGAAGTCACTTTCCTCACGACCTCTCCCTTCCGACCGCCCGAACATCCTCACGTCTACACGAATGGGTGCGTCGTGCCTAGGGCTCAGTGACAGCTTTGAGTGCTGAGGCTGATCGAACCGGCCGGCCATGAGCAGACACATCTGCGCTTCGGTTCTCGGCAGCGGTGCGTCCATGCGAATTCGTCATGCCTGTACGTGGCCATCACTGACTCTGGGCTGTTCGGTCTACCTCGTGAACGCACAGGCTGGTCCCCGGTCTTGAACGTCCAAAGCCTTCTCCTGTTCGTCGCATTTCCCTCGCTTTCCTCGTTCTGTGACGGCTGACCTCGTCTTCCTTGCCTGGTGCCTGAACAGCACTATGCAGTCGATGCTCGCAAGCTGCAAGAAGAAGGAGCTGCCGCCTGATAACGACAGGTGCGTTTCAGTTCCGCCTTCGCCTGCGCACCGTGCATGTCGACCTGCTGCACTCGCGGTGCTGGGGAGAACGCATAGGAGGACTGATGCATGTTCCGTCGCAGATACATCCGGAACGCACCCAAGTCGCCCAAAGATACCCGATGGCACGTACGAGTTGACGCCTGCCGAGAACATCTGCTAACTCTCGCTTCGTCCGTCTCGCAGGGCATATCACGATGGTACGACACGCTCCAGAAAGGTTCAGTCAGCTCAGAAGAACCGTTGAATTGACGCCCAATACTCTCGCAGATACCGTCTGAGTCCGCCTCAACTGCCTCCGACTCTTCCGCCCGCTCGCCGCCTCGCATCTCGCCTTTCATCCGTCTCTCGCATTCGATACCCGCACCCTCTGACACCCCTGTACCACTCGCCGCCTTTCCTCACACGCACCACCTTTCGCCGCACCTTCGCCGCAACCCGCACCTCCGGTCTCGTTTGCGACCAGCCAATCCTGCGACGTTCCCGATCTTCCCGACGCGCGTTGTCCGCTCGCGCGAGTTGACCTCCTCTCGACACAACGTCGCTTCTGCGCCACGAACGACGATAGGAGGACGAGGGGAGGGAGATGTACGAAGACTCTTGTCGGCGAGCACGGGAACGGCGAGGGAGGAGTGCGCCGACGTTGCTCGCACACTCTCCTCCTCGCTCGTCCTTCCACGCTCGCTCGGACGGCAGAACGACAGTGTTGCAACTCGCAAGATTCAAGAGCATCTCTCTCAACGCTCGTCGCCGCTCCGCCTAGCTCGCTCGTCTCGCCCCTGCTGGGCGATGCTCCTCGTGCTCGCTGCTGTATCGCTGGATTAGAAAGGGAGGGCCTCCGCTGGTTGTTCCGGGATAAGCCTCGGACAAGGATTGGAGGGAGCTGTCGCGGCCAAGGGAAGGGCGGGCGAAGACGGGTGCGCGCGGACCTGTGACACGGCTTGTCAGGTGCGCGCAAATCGACCCCGGGCTCGACTGGTCAGCGTCGGGTCAAGGTGGGGAAACACGAGCTCCTCATCCTCCCGCTCTTGCTCTCTTCTCCCTCCTCGACTCGCAAGTCGACTCGTTCGCTCAGACTACTCAGCTACACTCTCTCGCTATAGCCATGGCCGACGTCGACTACAAAGCAGTCAAGACGCACCCGATTTCGAAGCGCAACGATGGCTCGACGGGTCACAAGCCGCATTCGAACGAGGAGGAGTACAAGGAGCTGTACGAGCGCAGCATCAAGGATCCTCTGGGCTTTTGGGATGAGGTGAGCTCGTCGACCGTTCCCTAGCTGCTTGAGGAGAGGCAGAAATGCGAGGAGAACGTCGGAGGAGGAGCAGGAGATGGCGCTCGCCACGGCGTCGCTGGAAGGGCTTGCACCCTCGCGTATCGTAGCAGAGACTCTGGGCATCACGCAGAGCTGCGCGGCACCTCTTAAGGCGGTCAACTCGCTTTTCTGCAGGCGGTTGGGGGCGGAGGGCATGGTCGTCTGGCTCGCGCGCGATGGTTTCGCCTCGCAGCGGGACGAGCGGTTTCTTGGGAGCTCGAGGACAATCAAGGATTCGAATGCAACCTGGTCCGCGCAATGCGAGACGCTGAGGACGGCGCTGAAGGACATTGCGGGGACAGCGCGACGGGTTCCGAGACGCAAGAGCTGACACTCGCTCGCTCGCGCCGCAACGATGACGGAAACAGATGGCTAAGGAACACCTCTACTGGTGCGTTCTGCCTTTCTCGCACTTCCTCCGCTCGAACGAGGGTGAGGCGACGGCGACGCGAGCTGACCGCTTCCTACTCCGTTGTCCGCAACTCGCAGGCACCGCCCGTACACGACTGTCCAGGCTGGTTCCTTCACCGCAGGAGACGTCCAGTGGTTCCCCGAAGGCGGCTTGAACGTCTCGTACAACTGCGTTGACCGATGGGCGTACAAGCATCCGAATAAGGTGCGTTCCGCCGTTTCCTTCCGTTGCGGAATCGCTCGAACTGATTGCCGTAATCTGCGCAGACTGCCATCATCTGGGAGGCGGACGAGCCCGGAGAGCACGTCGAGCTCACGTACGAGCAGCTCTTCCAGGAGGTCTGCCGGACGGCCAACATCCTCAAGAGCTACGGCGTCAAGAAGGGCGACGTGGGTGCTCCACTCCCTGCGAAGATGAGCGTGTGTTGACCTTCTCCGCGAACAGACCGTCGCCATCTACCTTCCCATGGTCCCGGAAGCCGCGATCGCTTTCCTCGCGTGCGCCCGTCTTGGCGCCATCCACTCCGTCATCTTTGCCGGCTTCTCCGCCGAGTCCCTCCGCGACCGCATCGTCGACGCCAAGTCGCGCGTTGTCATCACGACAGACGAGGGCAAGCGCGGCGGCAAGACGATCGCGACCAAGTCGATTGTCGACGCCGCCCTCACCGAGTGCCCGCTCGTCGAGCACTGCCTCGTCCTCAAGCGCACCGGCGGCAACGTCAAGTGGACCGAGGGACGCGACCACTGGTGGCACGAGGAGAAGGACAAGGTCCAGCCTTACTGCCCCGTCGAGATCGTCTCGTCCGAGGACCCGCTCTTCATCCTCTACACCTCGGGCTCGACCGGCAAGCCCAAGGGTGTCGTCCACTCGACCGCCGGCTACCTCCTCGGCGCCTTCATGACGCTCAAGTACGTCTTTGACGTCCACCCCGACGACCGCTACGCCTGCATGGCCGACGTCGGCTGGATCACCGGCCACACCTACATCGTCTACGGTCCTCTCGCCAGTGAGTGCACGTGCCTATCGTGCCGAAAGAACGGACGCGCTGACTCGGTGCGCACGCAGACGGCGTCACGACCACGATCTTCGAGTCGACTCCCGTCTACCCTACCCCGTCGCGCTTCTGGGAGGTCGTCGCCAAGCACAAGCTCACCCAGTTCTACACCGCGCCGACCGCCATCCGTCTCCTCCGCCGCCTCGGCGAAGAGCACACCAAGGGACACGACCTCTCGACCCTCCGCACGATCGGGTCCGTCGGCGAGCCCATCAACCCCGAGGCATGGGAGTGGTACTGGGAGCACGTCGGCAAGAAGGAGTGCGCTGTCGTCGACACGTACTGGCAGACCGAGACCGGCTCGATCATCATCACGTTCGTCCCCGTCCCTCCTCGATTTCTCCTCTTGCGCTCTTCTTCGCTACACTTGCTGACTTTCCCACAATACAGTCCCCTCCCCGGGGCGACGAAGACCAAGCCCGGCGCAGCGACCCTTCCTTTCTTCGGCATCGACCCCGTCCTCCTCGACCCGACCACTGGCAAGGAGATCACCGGCAACGATGTCGAGGGCGTCCTCTGCGTTCGCAAGCCCTGGCCTTCGATCGCGCGCACCGTCTACGGCGACCACAAGCGCTTCCTCGACACGTACATGAACGTCTACCCCGGCTTCTACTTCACCGGTGACGGCGCTGGACGCGACCACGACGGCTACTACTGGATCCGCGGCCGTGTTGACGACGTTATCAACGTCTCTGGTCACCGCCTGTCGACCGCCGAGATCGAATCGGCGCTCATCCAGCACAACGGCGTCGCCGAGACTGCAGTCGTCGGTATCCCCGACGAACTCACCGGACAAGCCGTGGTCGCCTACGTCACCCTTAAACCCGACTTCTCGTTCGACGCTTCGGACGAGCCGGCTCTCATGAAGGAGTTGGTCCTCCAGGTCCGCAAGACGATCGGTCCTTTTGCGGCTCCGAAAAAAATGGCACGTTTTTATCGTTCTCTGAACCCTCCCCAGGCTCAAACGAGTCTATGTGATGCCCTGTGCGAAGTCTGGGGCGGAACGGAGGCCTTGGGCCCGAACGGCGGTTTCCGGACCGCGGAGCTGACTCCTTTCCCTTCGTAGGTACTCGTAAACGACCTCCCGAAGACGCGCAGCGGGAAGATTATGCGCAGAATTTTGGTACGTGTTGTTCTGAGCCGCTGGAAGCGTTCTGCGACGTCTCCGGGAGTGTCCCGACCTCCCCGGTGTCCTGGAGACTCGCGGTCTCCCCCACGTCTTCCCACGCCGCCCCGCGCCTCCCCAGACACTGACAGCCGTTCTACACACACAGCGCAAGATCTCCGCTAACGAGGCGGACCAGCTCGGCGACCTCTCGACGCTTGCCGACCCTTCCGTCGTCGACCAGATCAAGGAGAAGTTCGCCTCTGTCCCGGCTAAGTAGGCGCACTCGGCTCGCATCGCTACTTTCAACTGTCGCCATTAATTCGCCAAGCTACTCACAAGGCCGCCAAGTCGCATCGTCGTCGTTCTGTGCCGTCGTTTCCGTCCCTTCCCTCGAGTCTCGAATCTGTACCAAGGGTCCTCGAATACCTTTCCGGTCGCAATCCAATGATGTATAGTCTATCGTCACTCTACTTCTGTGCAGTCCAGCAGCGAGATCGAGAGAGGCGAAAGTCGTCGGCACGGCGCTGTCGGGATCCCCTCCGCCTCTCGTCGACTGTCTCCCGCTGCCACCTCGTCCGGTCCGCTTGTTGTGCTTCGCTTAGTGCTGTTAGACTGTATCTGTGCCGTCCAGACTCGCTCGATCACGCCCGGCCGCGCCGCAACCGCTTCATCGCGCCGGCTCGCCAGGACCCGCCTCGAGGGGGACAAGCTTCGACACGTCGCCGCCGAGGGCTGCAGAAGGGTCGTCGAGAGGCGTAAAGGGCTTCTGCTGGCAGACTAGTGGCGCGCTGGAGGCAGCCGATCTCAGCATGAGGTGCGTTTGCCTGCTCGAGCTTCGTCGAGGTCAGTGGAGGGAAATGCGGATGCGGGCGGCTTTGCGGAGCACAGAGCGAGACGTAGACATCGTCTGTTCTTTACATGCTCCACTGAGCGGCGCAGAAGCACTGCCAGACGGGTCCGCTTGGCTTCAGAACGCGAATTGACTCTCCTCGTTCCCTTGCAGCTCTATACCGTCGACGAACGTCCTCATTTGGCTCAGTGTGAAGCCCTTGATCAAGCTGGTAAGTTTGGCCAGTGGGACGGTGAAGTGGGAGAGGAGGGAGTGTATCCCGGCGTGAAGGAGGCCGCGACCCGAGTGCTCGAGACTGAGCGGCCTCTCTCGCAGGTCATTCCCGCCGGCCTGGGTTTCTGGCTCACGCGAGCTGGCCTCTTCCCCGTACCCGCCAGTCGTGGCGCCTCCGTCCTCATCCTCAACGTCTTCCTCCCGAACCTTCTCTTCTCCAAGATCGTCCCGTCAATCACGCCAGAGAACGCAAAAGCCATCGGTCCCATCTTTCTCGTCGGCTTCGTCTACATCATCATCTCTCTCCTCCTCGGCGTGCTCGTCAGGGTGACGTTCCGCACGCCACGAAACTTTCGATGGGGCATCCTGGCCGCGGCGACATGGTCAAAGTGCGTGTCCGCTCGTAATGCTTTCTGAGGCTGCTGCTGACTGACCTCGGTACTCGAGAACAGCTGGGGAGATCTGCCGACGTCCGTTGTACAGGTCGGTCCCTTCTCTCGGACATCGCAAGCTCATGTACTGACTTCGCCCGAAACAGACGGTCTGCGCTTCCGCACCCTTCGCCGGCGTCCAAGACTCGAACCTTGCAATTGCTTATGTTGCTAGTGCGTCTCATTCGCCGCCGTTCAATGACTTCCGCGGACTCAACACCGCTCGTCCGCGCAGTCTTCATCCTGATTTTCTACATCACCCTCTTCCCCATGCGCGGCATTCACCTCATCGAGCGCGACTACACGCATCCTCCGCCGCCCCTCGCAGATGATGAGCAGGAGAAGGGCGCGCTCGACAAGTACCGCCGCGCGTGCAGCAAAGTCGGCGGTTTCGTGCGCCGTCGAGCAAAGCGGTCTAGCTCGGGACTGGACGGCGAGGCGAGCAGCGTTGAGGAGAAGTTGCCGGTGCCTACACTCGACGAGCTGCACAAGGTCGCCTCGACAGCGTCGCAGCGGCGGTACCCTCACGCGACCTTCTCGCCTCTACACCGCCAAACCACATCTCGCTCAATCGACCGCAGCTCGATCCGCGAGATAGCGAGTGCCGCACATGCCGCCTCGCCCGCGGACACGCCAGGTCAGCTAGCCAGCACAGCACCGGACGGACCCGCTCGACGACGCCTTCTCCAGCTCGAGCGGGATCGTCTGCGGACCATCGTCGGCTCGCCGGCGGGCTCGGTCGTTGACGACGAGATCACCGAGGCTGGTACGCAGTCGGCGACGAAGGAGGTGGAGGTCGCAAACGAGAAGGGTGGAACGCGGCTGAGTTCCGTCGGCTCGCTGGACAAGTCTGCCGAGACAAAGGCAATGGCGGAGGTCGAGGATATGAAGGAGATAGCGGAAGCAGCCGAAGACGAAGAGGCAGAAGAGGCGAGCGGTGTTCGACGATTCCTGATCAGCGTCAAGGGCTTCGCCCTGTCGCTCCTGACGCCGCCGACCATCTCACTCGTCGCGGCACTTATCTGCGCGCTCGTCAAGCCTCTCAAGGCGGTGCGCGAAACCTCCGATCCTGCAGCTGCAGCACTGAATGCTGACGACTCGCCGACAGCTCTTTACGACCGTTCCCGACTACAGCTGGCACCCGACCGCGCCAGACGGCAATCCTCCTCTCGCCATCTTACTCGACACCGCAACATTCATTGGTAACGGCTCGGTCCCCCTGGGGCTGATGGTTCTCGGCTCGACACTCGGCCGGATGCGCATCCCTCGACCCATCTCGCGCCTTCCCCTCGGCAGCATCTTCGCCCTCGCGCTAGCAAAGGTCGTCCTCCTGCCCATCATCGGTTTCGTCTTCGTCCGCGGCCTTGCGACGCACACTGGGCTCGTCAACAAGGACAATCACGTCCTCCAGTTCGTGGTGAGTTCGGCCCTTGACCGTCGCTCGCTGGCTCCTGCTAACGTAGTCCGCGCAGATGATCTACTTCTCGGTTTGTCCGACTGCGACAACGCAGTGTGCACTCACTGTCGTGCGTTGCGCACTTTCCCTTCGCTGTTCGCCTCACACTGACGACGTCCTCTCGCAGATCTTCGCGCCCGAGGACGGCGAGAGCAACGCCGACATCCTCGCAGCATATCTTATTGCGCAGTACCTCATCTTCGCATTTGCGAGTGTCGTCTTGACGGCCATCTCGCTAAACAGTATATTCTCGTCCTAGAGTAGAGTTTCGGTTGTATCGCCGCATGTAGCTTTGTTGGAATAGATCTCTCATGAGCTCAGGGCGCTTGAAGCCGTGATGGAGCTGCTGATGGTCGGGCAGGCCTCGCTGATTTCCCTCTTCCTCCTTCCTTTTACCCGCTCACTCGCCTCCCCTCCCCGTGGTTCGGCTGCGACTGTACTGCTAAAAACATAGCTTAAGCGCCCTCAGACGACCCCTCGCACCGCCCACGACGCCCTCGTGCGCTCTCCCGGCACCCTCACCAGTTCCGACTTTGTCTCCCCCGATGCAAAGCCACCCGCCGTCGAACCTCCTGCAACCCAGTCGGCCGACCACTGCGACGCACTCGAGCGATTCGACTACCTTCGGCTCGCCCGGCTTCGGGACCTCCTCGAGAACGCCCCCCCTCTCCTCCTCCTCCCCACCTCAAGATCCGAAGTCGCGCCCGTTCGAACTGCTCTCGACTTTCTCTCGATGGGCACCGGTCCGAGGGACAGTTCGCATACGAGTGCAGGACCAGACCTTCTACGCACACCGGGAAGTGCTCGCACTCGCCTCGCCATTCTTCGCTGGAGTCTTGCGAGGCGGATGGAAGGAGACTGAATCGCTCAGGCCGCATGCGCGAGGACCCCAGGGACTTTCGAAGGCTGAGGAGTTATTACGGACGACGTCTGTCGATGGCCCGGAGGTCGACCCACTTCCCTTCCCGGGCGACGAATCTTTGCCCGACCTCCCGCAACATACGCCGCGACAGTCAGGACCGCTGCTCTCGCCTGTACGACCACCCTCGCTTGATGCTTCTGTCGCCGCATCGAGTGTCGTCGAAGATACGGACGAAGATGACGACGAGCTCGTGGAGGAATGGGTTGAGTGTCGGTTACGGATCCAGGAAGAGAACGCAGCGAGTGCGTCCCGATTTCGCTGATCCTCGCGGCTATACAGCGGGCTGACTTCGAGCTGTACAGGCTTCCAGGACCTCCTTTGTCACGTCTACCCGCGACTCGACTGCGCCATCACCTGGTCGAACGTGGAGGACCTGAGTCGGATGGCCCTGCTCTTCGACATTCCGAGCTTGAGCAACGCGTGTCTCGCCTTCCTCCTGCCTTCCGCCGCCGGCCGACCTGTCCTCTGCATGAAGATCGCGGAGGTGCGGCACATCTCTGTTCCACCCGGACTCCCACGGTACCGCTCCGTCCAGGACTGACGTGAATGCGCTCGCAGGAGATGTGCATCCCCGAACTCTACCGAGAAGCAAGCCGCTACATTCTCGACAACTACGCCGGCTGGAGCAGTGAAGAACTCGCCGTTCTCGATCCGAGCACGCTTCTCAAGCTCGAGCGGAAGCGGTCCTGGTTTCTCGAGCGGCTGCTCAAACTTGGACAGGTCTCGATTCTGCGGGACTACTCCTGTCAACCCGCATGCGACGACCCGTCTCGCTGCGCTCGCCTTGTCGACGAGAAATGGCGATCTGCATTTGCGGCTGCATTTCGCTTCGGAACCCCTCAGCCGTGCGTTGGGTCTCTTGCTATGTCAGGCGAGGCTGCGCATCCTGACACCGTTGTCGGACGGTGTCGTCGCAGGTCAATCATCTTCCGAAGCCTCCGCCTCCTCGAGCCGTCTCTTTCCTCTCCCGCCCTACACCTGCCTTACACCGCCTGTCAAACTCACGCAAAGCTCTGGGTCGTCGAGTTGGTCCCCCTCGCCTCGCACGATTGACACGCACTCGGAACTGACCCTCTCGCTTCGCAGCCTCTTCGACCGCATGTTCCAGCTCGGCATCACCCCCGCACGCAACTGGAGCTCCCTCACGCTCGGCGGCTTGCCCGCTTCTGCCTCGGCAACGACCAGCTCGGGCACCTGGGCGCATCTGCGGACGGGTGCGGGAGACACGGTAGCGACGCAGAAGAATACGTCGGCGAGGTACTTTCTTTCGATTGAGATGCGGGAGGAGTCGGCGAGCGCTGGAGAGAGAAGGAAGGAGCGAGGGTTTGGGTCGTTTGGCGGGTGAAGGTGTAGCTCGCTGGTCGAGTGCAACACTTCCCCTCCACGAAGATTGCGGTCGTCCCGTTCCTTGAGATAGCTGAACCTTGCGGGCTTATGGCATAGAGCATAGCTACGTATGACGGAGTTTACAAGGCTGGCGAGGACTAGGGAAGCAAGGCAACATGAACGGATCAAATAGCGGGTGGTACGGATGCGACAACTGCATGAACAGGTGGACAGGTGTAAAGTCAAGAGCAGTTCGTATCGTCGTGCGCTGCGAGGATTTCCCACTCATCCTCGTCCAAGGCCGGCGACGGAAGAGGGAGAAGGACAGTTTCGGCGAGAGTTGGCGCAAGAGGGACGATCTCGAAGTCGTGCGAGTCTGCGCCTGCGTAGCAGAGAGAGTCAGTAGGACTCGGCAAGGAGGGCGAAAGGCGGGACGCACGACGGAGTGTTCTTGGAGGAGGAGGAGGAGGAGGAGGAGAATTCGCCGTTTCGAATGCGTCGTGAGTCGGCGGGTCCGCTGTAGCGGGTTGGAAGTCTTCTTCCGCCGCTTTTGTCGCGCCAAGAGCGTCTTCGTTACTCGCTGTCGCCTGCGCCGTCGTCAACTCCCGCTGTTTGTCCTGGGCGATCCTTCCGGCATGAGTCGAGTCCTCCGAGTCCTTCACCTTTCCCTGACCTACTACCGGCGTCGTCGCCGTGTTCCGCTGTGGTCTTGCTCTGCCCATCGTCGCCGTTCCTCCTGCCAGGATGACCGCTCCATTCAGCCTCGCGGATGAGCCGATTGACGTGCCGACAACGGGAGTGCGCGAGAGGTTGTAGTGTAGGCGTGCAGAGGGTGGCAGAGCGACAGTGCGAGTACGGCGAGAGTCGTGAACGGCTTTGAGCGAGAGCATGGGTGAGGAGGAGGAGCGAGAGCGCCGAGTGACGAGGATAAGGTGAGCCGGCGTGATAGACCCGTCCCGGTCACGTGAGCGGAAGACTGTCGATCGCTCGCGCTGAGGAAATAGCGCTGCAAAGGACGGCGTGAGGCGGTCGTAAGAGAAGTTGCTGGGTCGGGCTAAGATCATGGTGTGCGAGGCGAGCGCGGCGAGACGCGGAAGCCGTGGCGGCTGGAGATAGACGGCCAGCGTTGCGAACGATCCTCCGCCTCTACAGCTCATCCCGCGGCGCCTCGAACGCCTCCATGTCCTCATCGCCGTCCAGCTCGTCGAATGCGCCGTCCTCGTCTGCGTACTCCTCACCCTCCTCACCCTCCTCGAACTCCTCGGCAAACTCGTCGTCCGCCAAAGTCTCGTCTCCAATCGATGCGTCCTCCACTTCCAGCTGTTCCTGCGATTGCTTCACGGAGTGAGGTACATCCGTAGAATTGAACGGATGCGCCGGCTCCTCCTCCTCTTCCTCCTCCGGCGCTGCAAGCTCCGCCTGCTCTGCCTCCTCCGTTGCTGACGAGTCGCTAACGGGCAACTCAGTCTCGACAGGTGCCGACACTACTGATTCCACTGTCGGTGTTGGTGTGACGAGGTGGACGGTCGAAGGGGCGGGTTCAGGGGTTGACGGAGATGGGGTGACCATCTCCTCCACTATGTCGGGCTCGGAAGGCGGGAAAGGAGCGGCTGTAGGCGCATCTGGGACGCCGAAGGGCTTGTCAGGCGTCTCGTAGGCGGAGTCGTCGACTGAGGAAGCCTCATCGTCGATATCCTCGTCCGCCTCGAGCTCCGCATGTCCTGCCTCCTCCACTGCTCCATCCTCGCCGCTTCGCTCCGACAGCTCCGCCAACTGTGCTTCAGGAGCGGCCGTTGGCGTAGCAGTCGCAGCCGGCTCCGCTTCAGACGGCGGCGCAGCGGGAGCTGCCGTTTCCTCCTCGACACCGTTATCGGCAGGCTCTTCGACAAACTCCGGCTCAGGTTCAGAAGTCGAAGTCGGAACGGGAGGTTCAGGCGTGGCGGGAGACTCGTCGAGAGGAGTGGAAGTCAGCTCGACGGCCTTAGCGACGGTCGGTTCTTCAGCGGCGACGGTGGCGGAGGGTTCGCTCGTTGTTTCAAGCGTCTTTGCCTCGTCCGCAGAGGCCTCTTCGGTCTCGCCGAGAGGAGATGAGTTGGAGACATCGGCCGCCGAATCCACGTCCGCCTCTTCCTGCTTCTCCGCCTCTTCATACTCGTCCTCCGCCGCGGGCTCCTCCTGCTCGTCCGCCGCAGGCTCAGCTGCAGCCGGCTCCTTCGCGGCCTCCTCGAGAGGCGCCGTCGCGTTCGCAGCCGCGATCGCGCCGACTCCACCGCCGTAGCCCATCTGCTGCTCCAACATCTGCTCGAGCAACTCCTCCTCATTCGCCTGCTCCTCCTCGACGTACGGCTCATTCGCAGTCTGTGGGGGCTCCGAAGCGGCCAAGACTTCCTCAACATCCGGCGTGTCCTGCTCGTCCACGTCCCAGAGCGTCTGCTCCGCCGCAAGGTCGATCGGGAGCTCCGTCTGGTGCTCGACACCTGCTTCATCTTCGACCGCGAGGGGATCTCCGCCACTCTCCTCGACGTCGAGCGGCGGCACCGTACCGGCGTGCACCTCCTCCGCATCAAGCGGGACGGTGATGCCCTCAACTCCCGCAACGTCTCGCGGTTCTTCCGCCTCCTCGGCATCGTGGACAATCGCGACGTAATCGCGGTTAGAAGGTGCGGTCTCCTCGAGAGGGACGCGAACGGGGTGGAGAGGGGCGGCGGATTCGTCGATGTCGGAGTAGTCGGTTGGGAGGTCGATGCCGGTATCGAGGTCGGGAACAGAGGAAGGCGTAGGGATGGTGGTCGACTCGGGAATGTCGAGGGTGGAGAGCGAAGCGGAAGGAGGAAGGTCTGCGACTGGTTCGTCGGAAGAGGCGGCGGGAGGTACCGCGTTGCCCTCGACGATGCGATTGATGTCGCCGAGCTGCTCGTCGAGATCTGGACGATTCGGTCGGAACGGTTCGTACTGCGAGCGGTCAAAGACCTTGTCCTCCTCGCCCGTCTCAGCCATTTCCTCGTCCTCACCCGCGACTCCCAGCTCCTCGTCTGCTTCCAGGTGCTCCGCCTCTCCTGCCTCGTCCAGAACCTCCTCTGTCGCTCCACCATCGAACACATCCTCGACATGCTCCATCGTAGGCTGCGGCGGGCGTTCCTCGCGCAAGAAGACCGGCTCGAACTCGTCCCCGTCCGCAGCCGGCACAGGCGGAGCGCTATGCGCGTCTGCGTCGCCGCGTTCGAAGAGCCCGCGACCTTCTGAAGGTTCGGGAACTTCGTCGAGGGGGAGTTGGGCGGCGGGTTGGGGCAAGTCGGCTTCAGGCACTGCGGAAGGTGTAGAGATCGCTGAAGAAGGGATGTCGATAGTAGTCGACTCGGCGGGGAGAGGCGGTGCAGAAGATGAAACGAGCGCTTCGTCGGAGAAGGATTCGAGCGGGGCGGCGTAGACGGGACTGTCGGGCTCGTCGAAGAATGCTGCATCGTCGACGGGAGTCGGCATCTCGAAAGGCTCGTCCGGAGCAAAGTCGAAGAATTCGTCGTCCGCCTCGTCGTCCTGACCTTCGGGCTCCACCGAAGGAGACGGCGGCGCCTGAACGGGCGCAGCGACGTGCTCGACCTCCTCTTCTCGCGACGGGACGTCCTCGAACGCCTCGCGGTCGTCCTGCTCCTGCGCTTCGGCATTCTGCGGCTTGGAAGCCCTCTCGCGGACCTTCTCGACGCCCGCCCAGACAGCGCTGACAGCCGCACCTGCAGCGGCAGTCGCTCGTGCTACCTCTCCCATGACCTCATTCCTGACCACCTTGCTGGCCTCGCCCGTGACCCCGCTCGGCGAAGGGACGTCCGCCCCACCCGCTCCCTGCCGCTTCGACAACCCCGCCAACGCTCCTCCGCCCTTCGCAACGAGTCCTCCCAATCCGCCCACGACCCGTACACCACGGTCAACGACACGTTTCTTGAAGATGTACGCGCAGACGGCGGCGAAGAAAGTAAAGGCGAAGAAGAGGAGGAGGCGGTCGAGGACGTCGGCGCGTTCGAGCGAGGTGATGAGCGTTTTTGAGGTGTGGAGGAGAGTCGAGAGGGTGGAGTACTGGGTCGAGGTCAGCTCCATAGTCTGCGTTTGAGACTCTGCGAATGCGACGAAGTGAGCGCCAGTACGCGGTAAAGACAGGGAAATGAACGCACGAAGCATCTCGTTCGTCACGAGTGACCGGTCCACCTCCTGCTGCATGAGCTGCAACGTTCTTCGCAAGCCCTCGGTGACGTCCGAAGTCGCAGACATGAGGGCATCGTCGGAGCTGTGCAAGTCTCGAATTGTCAGATTCGCCGAGAAGTTGCATGAAATTCAGGATCGCACGCACGTCTGGTTCGGTCCTGCGCCCCTCTGCGCGCTTCCTCCAGGTGAACCGGGTCCTGGTGAACCCCTTCCGCTGACCGAGGCGAACAATTCCTCCCGAGCGAGCAGGTGTGCGGAGGCGTCAATTTGTCGCTTCGACGTCACGACGGCCTGCCGGTACAGCTTCGTGCAGCTGAGAAGTCGCTCGTCGTGTCAGCGAGAGCATGAAAGGTATCGAGGACTGCAGGAAGCGAACGCACCCGTCAAGTCGCTGCTGAACCTGCTTGACGTGTTCACCGCCCGCCGCCCGTTCCCGGGCCCTGTCGAGGTCGTCCACCTCAAGCTTGAGCTCCTGCGCAGCGTACGAGCGAGTCCGTCAGCCCAACGAACGAAGCGGGCGAGCGCAGCGGGCCTTGGTGACGCACCTCAATGTCGCGCTTGCAACCCGCCAATTCTGCCCTCACACCCGCCGCGAGCTCCTCGTGGAAGGTGACTGGGCCCCTGCATTGCGCCAGCTGCGGGATCCGATAGTCCTCTAAGTCCTGCAAGCGGCGGAGGAGCGAGTCTGTGAGGTCGAGGATCGCTCCGGGGAGGGGAGGCGGCGGCGGCGGCGACCGCGCCTTTGCCGGGTCTGGCGTGTGTGCCGGCGGTGGCCTGCGTGTGTGGACGAGTCTGTCAGTACAACGGTCCAGCAGGTAGCAAGCGGATTAGACGAGCATTAGTAGTTGGTTGTAAGGGAAGCAATACAACTCGCTCGCTCTCTCTCTCATCGCCACTTCTCAGACTCGTACTTCCGCTAGAATGCACGCTGCACGGTCACTCGCTCGCGCATCTCGCGCCATCGCCCGCCCCAGTCCCGCCGTCCTCCCCCGCGCCGTCGTCGCTGCCGTCCCTTGCCGACCAACTTTCTCGCCGCTCCGCTTCTACTCGGCAGCGCCTGAGGCACAGCAGGAACCGGCAGCAGCGACCGCAGAGACCGCACAGAACGGCGCTGGAGCTGGACCGAAGGACGGAAAGATCGAGGTGGATGCGGGAAAGGTCGACGAGTTGACCAAGCTCCTCGAGGAGCAGAAGAAGATCGTTGCAGAGCTCAAGGTGCGTGGCCGGTCTGCTCGTTGTGCTCGAGAGGCCCGCAAGCTGACATGGCGAGCTGCGCCACTCGGCAGGAGGCTCGTCTCCGCACCCTTGCCGACTTCGAGAACCTCCAGAAGATCTCGACGCGGGAGAAGCAGCAGGCCAAGGACTTTGCGCTGCAAGCGTTCGCCAAGGACCTCATCTCCGAGATCGACGTCCTTAACCTCGCCCTCCGCTCCATTCCCGCCGAGCGCCTCGTCTCCTCCTCCGACCACACGCCCAACTCTGATCTCCTCGGCTTGCACGAGGGCGTCAAGCTGACGAAGCGCGGTATCGAGAAGGTCTTGGCGAAGCACGGCGTTGTTGCGTTCGACCCGACTGGCGAGCAGTTCGACCCGAACAAGCACGAGGCGCTCTACCAGGCGCCCGTTCCCGGCAAGGAGCCTGGGTCGGTTCTCGAGTGCCAGGAGATCGGATGTACGTACCGCTCTTACGCCCACTAATACGCCGAGACTGACTTTGCTGACCCTGGACGATTCTTTGGCCCTCTTGTATCTCCCGATCCGTTCACACGACGCGCTTCATCCGCGCAGACATGATCAAGGACCGCCTCCTCCGCCCCGCCAAGGTTGGTGTCGTTCTCTCGACCGAGTAAACGACCCGCCTGCTCCCAAAATCCGCCTTCTCCCCTCGACTTCCTTTCCAACGACTTTCTGCGGGCGGCGTCCCGCTTCCTTCTTCCTGCCCCTGCCACATCCTGACCCTCCCACGCACTCTGTATAGAATAGCACTAAGCACGCAGCCTCCTTCGCTTCCGGTCTGCGTTGTGTGTCGCATGTTACCCTCTCCTTTTCCTCCCGGACTCTCTTCGGGACAGCTCAGAACTGTCCCTCATCAGCAGCAAATGCAATCAGCACTCACTACTCTCGCACTTCCTGTCCATTCGTTGGACCGGGTCTTCGCGAGTTGTTCTTTCGCCGCTCTTTCGCTTCTTCCACTCCCTGAACCCCCCTTCTGCGTTGCTCTTTCCGCTCCTGTGCCATGTCGTGAGCTCTGTACGACCCTGCTTTATGCTCTCCCGGACTGACCAGCTCACCCGGCTCTCTCTCCTCTTCATCTCCTCATCGCATCCTGCCGGTCATCCAGCGCTTCCAAACGTTTCACCCAACTAGTCTGGTCCGCCTTCCAGCGCAACGCAGGGCACGATTCCAACTCATTCGGACACGTTCGTCCAGCTCTTCTCTCGTCCTCGTTCTGGAGGAGGAGCGAACTGATGTGGGGCTCGTTTAGCTGGTCGTGAAGGATGCGAGGCCTGGGAAGGTGGAGGCGGTGATGGAGGTCAAGAGGCATCAGAGTGCGTGCAGGATTCGCTTGACCGCTTGTGAGGAGGACGAGGGGGAGGCTGACCTTCTCGTCCCGCGGCTTTGCTTGTATTGGCTTGCTCGCAGTCAACCGGCTGAATGTTCGTCCTTTCGCCTTCAACATCCCGCTCATGGATCAGACGCAGCTGGCGCAACGGCTCAGGCTGACCCGTGCAACCTGCCATCTTCCTCCTCCCTCCTCTCCTCTTCCGCTTCTCTCGCGATTGCAGGGCCTGCATGGCGGCTTAATCGCCTCGCTAGTCGACACAATGGGCTCACTTGCGCTCGCGAGTAAAGGGCTGTACATGACGGGCGTGTCGACGGATATGAGCCAGACGTGCGTTGCGAAGCTTCGCGGTTCCCGCTTGCTGCTTGACCATACTCGCGTGGCTGGTCCTAAAGCGGGCCAACTGTGCGATGGTAGAGTCCGAAGTGGGCAAGCGAGAGCTAACAGATTCTCCTCGCTCGCACAGGTTCGTACGAGGAGCAAAGCTGGGCGAGACGGTGCGGATACAGAGCGAGCTCGTCAACTTGGGTGCGTTTCCTCTCTCACAACCACGTCGTAAAAGCACAGTGTCGCCGTCTGGCGGGGTACGAGTTGTTGGTCGAGGAATGCGACGCTCACACCTGCGCTTCACAGGCAAGACGCTCGCTTTCACCCGGATCGAGCTGTTCAGCGCGGAATCGGGCAAGCTCCTCGCTTTCGGCGAGTCCTGCTTCGCTTTTCGGTGGTCCTGCTCCGCGGCACTGCCGCGTACCAGGTCCTTCGAGATGTCGAGTAGTAGCAACTGACGCTTCCTCACCCTTAGGCTCACATACCAAATACATCGCGGACGCGCTAAAGAGCGACAAGAATGTCAAGTTTAGCGAGGACGGCGAGCAGCTGGTGCAGGGCGAGATGCCCCGCGAGTAGACGGACGCGAGGAGGGGAGGGTGGTAGACTTCGCTTCCCGGCAGTCGCTCTCGCCGCCATAAATCGTATGATAGAATCAGACGTCCAATGCAGATATTCGCAAGCACCGCGAGTGACTGGAAGCGAGGTAGTCGTTCGAGTTCGCTCCGCTCGCCTCTCTCGCTCGTCCTCACCCGCTCGCACGCACACCACTGCTCTGTGCGCCTGCCGTACCTGCTCAGCTACCGTCCTTTCTGCACCCGCTACCGCCTCAGACCGCCCGCACACCGTCGCGACCGCTCCTCATCTCGCCCCATCTCGACCAACCCACCACCCCTCGCCCACCCACGATGTCTGGACTCGTCCTCCCCTCGCGCGGCACTTCTATCAACGGCAACGGCAGCAGCAACGGTGTGGCGAGTGGCAGCGGTGCAGCGCACGCGGGCAGCGGGGCGAACGCGGGCGCGAGTGGTAGTGGCGCGGCGATGGAGTCAGCCGGCACGCAGGCGAGCGACAAGGGCAAGGGAGTCGACAGCGACGCCAACGCCGTCATCCCTGGTGTCAACGGGATCGTGCCTACGCTGCAGTGAGTCTCCGCTCAGGCTCTGTCGAGTTGAGGCGAGCGAGCGCACCAGATGAGGTGGACGCGCGGTCAGCTGGCCCGGCCGTGGCATGCTTGGAGGGTGGGCGGGCGGCAGAGTGTACCGGGAGTATCGATTTGATGCAGTGACTGTCCGAGGCGACCTTGTTGCACGAGTGTTGACACGCGCTTCGGCTTCCCCTCCTCGCGAAGGAACATCGTCGCAACCGTCAACCTCGAGTGCAAGCTCGACCTCAAGACGATTGCCCTGCATGCCCGCAACGCAGAGTACAACCCAAAGGTCTGTTCTCCATCGTTTTGAACCGTTTCCCGTTCAATCCGGAGAACTGAACGAGCCTTGAGCACCCGTCTCCTCGCCCGTTTCCCCTTCGCTGCTGCTTGTTCTCGCACCCCGCTCTCGTAGCGATTTGCGGCGGTCATCATGCGTATCCGCGAGCCGAAGACGACCGCGCTCGTCTTTGCGTCAGGCAAGGTGGTCGTCACCGGCGCCAAGTCGGAGGACGACTCGCGCCTCGCCGCGCGCAAATATGCACGCATCATCCAGAAGCTCGGCTTCGAGACCAAGTTCACCGACTTCAAGATTCAGAACATTGTCGGAAGCGTGAGTCCGACGCCGCGCTTGTCTTGTCCCGTTCTTGAGACTGCGAGACTGACTGCGAGCTACGCTTTGAATTTGCAGTGCGACGTCAAGTTCCCCATTCGCTTGGAGGGACTCGCGTACGGCCACGGACACTTCAGTTCGTACGAGCCCGAGGTGCGTGCCGTGCCCTCGCTTCGCTCTCGCCTTCCAAAAGCGACGTGACTGATTTCTCCGGCATTCGGACGCGCAGCTCTTCCCCGGCCTGATCTACCGCATGGTTAAGCCCAAAGTCGTCCTGCTCATCTTCGTCTCGGGCAAGATCGTCCTCACCGGCGCCAAGGTGCGTCCCCACCCCTCCCCTTCCCTCCTCGCCCCTTCGCTGACTCTCGTGCACGGATGATAGTTCCGAGAAGAGATCTACCAAGCGTTTGCGCAGATCTACCCCGTCTTGAACGAGTACCGCAAGCCTTGATCTCGCCTCTCGCCTCCACCTTCCGCCTCGCCTCGCATCCCTCGATACCCCCACCCCTTCGTCCGCCGCGCCTTTCCCCTCGCTTCCACGCATCTCGACTCGAAACTCGCGCTTCATACCCCGTAGGAGCAGGAGGGGAAGAGGGGAAGAGCAAGAGGAGCGCTTCGTTGCTGCTGTCCTCGGCTTTTCCCGCCCCTCCTCCTCTTCTTCTCCTCGTTCATCTCATCTCGCATCGAAAACCCTCCAAACACAAGCCTATTCTCCTCGTCATTGTACCCGCTCCCTCCTCTTCCCCTCTCCGCCCGCTTGCCTTCCCTCCAGCTCTGTTGTACCCTCCTCCGTCTTCGTTGTTTGTTCCGAAATCTGGGGGTCACGCGGGGTGGCGCTTGAGTGACGGAGGGTGAGGGGCGGTGAGGGGCGGTGAGGGGCGGTGAGTGGCGAAGTGCGTTGCAAGTTTGACACGATTTATCAATCCTCTTGTGCTGCAGAGTTTCTCTCCGTCCGTAGTGCGTCGAGCTGGAAGAAAGCGAGGAGAGTCGCGAGGAGGAATCGCTGCGAACGAGGAGGGGAGGGGAGGAGAGTGAGGATCAGGGTACGAGCGAGGCTGTGAATCGCGGAGCGTATGGCCGCGCTCGTCGGTGCGAGGAGCAGCTCGAGAGGAGTGTTCTAGTGGAGGAGCGAAGCAGCGAGAGAGAAGGATGGAGTTCGAGCGAGCAGGAACGTGATAGCAACGGCTTACGTTCCACCAGAACGACCTCGCTGCCAACAAGGAGTTCTTAGCAAGGGCGTCAAGAGCGCTGTCCCGCAGGCGCGTCGGGCGGATTCGACAGCGAGAGGTGCGAGCCAGAGAGGGAGAAGAGCAGAAATCGAGGCGCAGAGGGCGCTGATACGCCGCAGACGGCATCTTCGCCGTTCGTCTGGTGCATTCCAACGTCGTCTTCATCGTCTCTGGACGCCGGGAAGCCAAGCAGAACCGCGAAAAAGCAGTAACGTGCGCGCAACCCGGCCTGCTCCTCCGCCGCGTCTCCCATCGCCATCTCGACTCCTACGACCCTGCCAACTCGCAGACTCCACAGTGATCACACTGTCCGCCCCTCCAACTGCTCAACCACTCCATCAGAGCATGCGATCCACCCGTGATGCGCGCGGAGGAAAGGCGGGTCGCGCCTCCCACAGGCAGTCGAGCGAGCGAGAGCAGACTGGGCAGGGAGAGAGAGCGTGAAGACGAATGTAGCCCAGTGAGCCAGCAAGCGAGAGTTGAGCAGTACTACTTGACTACGACGAGGTGAGCGGGTTGTTGTTTGCGCTCGGACCAGTTCCGGAGACGGGTGACGTGTCGCGGGGTAACGCGCGCGTGATTTCACCTGCGGACGGGGCGCGCCTCTCTCCCTCCCGTTTCCCCCTCGATTACAACGCGATTACAAACTCGCAGTTTGTATTCATTCCATTACAACCAGGAGATTGACCTCTTAGTTGAGCTTGTCAACTCTCAAGGGTTAGGGCCATGTCGCACGCCGAGCACTCCAACACCGACAACCCGCACCACGACCCAGCCCCCGCCGCACCGAAGGAGCACCTGCCCCCGCCCCCTCCTCCTCCTCACTCGCTCCCGACCCCGCCCAACACAGACACTCCAGCAGCAGCAACGACGATGGAACAGCAGCAGCAGAACGGCCACTCTGCACTCGAACCCGCGCCCGCACCTCCCCCCGCCTCGCTCGACTCGCCCGCCGTCCCTCCTCCCCCTCCACCTGCCGTCCCTCTCCCGCCGCACCTCGGCCTCCCTGCCAAGCTCGAGCACACAGACAGCACAAGCAGCGTCGCAGCGCAGCCTCCCACGCCGATGCACCAACCCGCTCAGCCCGCCCAGCCCATCGAGAACGGTTCCTTGTCCTTCGAAGCGATGGCCAACGGCGCACCGCACGAGCACGAGCACTCGCACGGGACGTTCAACGAGCAGGCTGAAGAGGCGGTCGAGCATGCGCATGCGCATCCCGGGCTCGGGTCGATCCAGCACGAGTGGGAGCAGCGACTTGCGGGCGCCTCGGGCTCGGGGGCAGACGGGACAGAGACGCCTCCTGCGGGAGTTGACGTCCTTGCGGATGTTGCGATGGGCGAGGCGGTTCTTGGGTTGGCGGAATTCGCGGCTGGAGCGGGGTCGGGAGACGTGAAAGAGGGGTCGCCTGGCGTGTCGGTGCAGGCGGCGGATGATGGGCCGGCGAATCCCGTCCCCCCGACGCAGGGAGGGACGCTGAAGCGTTCGTCGCCGGACCGTGACCGAGACGAGGCGGGCGATGCGGCGGGATTGCTGGGATTCGCGCAGGGAGAGGTCGTGCAGGGAGGCGGAGACGAGCGCGAGGCGAAGCGGGTTAAGGTCGAGCCAGAGGTTTGTCCGCGTTTCCGTTCCTCTTGCTTCCGTTCGCAGCGAGAACTCACGCTTATTTTGGTGTAGCCGACGCCTGTTGCGCCCGCCGTCCCTTCGCCTGCGCCTTACTCCCCCTCACCCCCTCACCCGCCGCTCCTCCCCCTCCCGCAGCGCCTTCCATCGTCGAGCCAATCGCCGCCTCGACTTCCGCAGCCGCAGCGCCCGACTCGTCCGTCCCCGCACCCGCCGCCTCTCCCGCCCCGATCCCCGTCCAAGGCTACGACCCCTCAGCCTTCACCTCCGCTCCGACGCTCGCCTCGTCCGCCTCGCCTTACCCTCCCGCTCCCGCCTCTGCCCCGCCGATGCCGACCATGTCTCCGTCCGACTTGCATACTTTCGCGGGCGGACCCGTACCGGGACCGTCGTCTGCTTCGCTCCCTCCTCCCTCGGCTGCTTCACCCTCCGTATCCATCGCATCCCCCAATCCCGCCATGTTCGCCGCGTCGCCCGACGCGTTCCAGCAGCAGCCTCAACAGCCCGTCGCCTCGACCTCTGCCGCTCCCGCTCCCGCTGAAGACGCCGACGCCAACGCCTCTCCCGTCCCTCCGCCTCCCGAGCCCATCGCCGTCATGACGAAAGAGCAACAGAAGCACGCGATCAACATGGTTCGCAACCTCAAGCGCAACAAGAACGCGCCACCGTTCCTCAAACCCGTCGACGCAGTCGCGCTTCACATCCCCGACTATTACAAGATCATCCTCGAACCGATGGATCTGGGAACGATCGAGGCGAGGTTGCAGGCGACGAGTAAGGCGATGCAGGGTGCGAACAAGGCGGGGAGGACGTACGGGTTGGATTATTCCGAGGGCCGTGATCCGAATGCGCGATGGGAGGGTCAGGTCCCCGAGGGCGAGGAACCGCATACGTACAGGACCGTCGCCGAGTTCAAATACGACCTCGACCTCGTGTGGAACAACTGTTTCCGGTACAACGGCCCGCGCGACAAGAATCCGGTGTCGGCCATGGCGGGCAACTTGATGGATGCGGCGGAGAAGGCGTATAGGGCTATGCCGTTCGCTCCGGCTGTTAGCGTGCGTCCGAGTCTCTTCTCCGTCTTCCGAGTGCGCGCTGATGAGATGTTTGGGTGACGCACGCAGCCCTACCCGCCGAAGGAACCGCCCAAGCCCGTCATGCCCGCCTACCTCCCCCCTCCCCGACCCGCCGAAAACACCCGTCCAAAGCGCGAGATCCACGCGCCCGCCAAGGACCTCCCGTACCTCGAGTCCGCAGGCGTCGACATCACCGCCGGCGGGATCTACAACCTCGCTGGCATTCCCGGTCACGCCCCGCCGCCGAAGAAGGCCAAGAGCGCGCAGAAGATTGCGCAGGAGCAGTTGAGGTTCTGTAAGGAGGTCGTCAAGGAGTTGTTCAAGAAGACGCACGAGTCGTATGCGTTTCCGTTCTACCAGCCTGTCGGTGCGTTTGCGCGTTTCTTTTTCGCTCTGGAGGGGAGCGGAGGAAGCTGATGATTCGTGACGGCGCGCAGACTTGAACGTCTACCCGCAGTACACGCAGTACGTTCAGACGCCGATGGATCTCTCGACGATCCGGAGCAAGCTCGAGCACAACCAGTACCCGCTCCCGCCGTACCAAGCGTTCGAGCACGACGTCCGACTCATCTTTGCCAACTGCTACGCGTTCAACCCGGCCGGCACAGCCGTCAACGACTGGGGCCACCGGCTCGAGGCCGTCTTCGAGACCAAGTGGGCGGAGCGGCCGATGGCGTACGAGGACGACTCGGAGGACGAGGACGAGAGCTTCTCGTTCATGGAGCAGCAGCTCATCGTCATGCAGCAGAACCTCGAGCTCATGCGCCAGAACAAGAAGGCCCAGAAGGAGGCCAAGCGCCTCCAGCACATGCAGGCGCAGGTCCGCATGCCTCACGTCGTCGCGCCTCTCCCGCCTCCGCCCGCGCCGAAGCCCAAGAAGCCCTCGCAGCAGCAGCAGATGTACTCGGCCTACGCCAATTCGCCGTACGGCGCGCCGCAGGCCGTCCCGCGTCCGAAGAAGCCGTCGGGCGCGCGGACGAGCAGCGGCGGGATGGGCGGGATGGGCGGCGGAGGACAGCGCAAGCCGAAGCGCCCGAAGCACGACGACGACTCGGACGACTACTACGAGGACGACGGCGGAGCGTACTACGGCGGCGGCGGGTCGTCGTCGTCGAGGCGGCGCTCGACGCACCATGCCGCGCATGCCGAGCCGATGATGGAGGAGTATGTCGACTTTGACATGAAGCGCGAGCTGGCGGTCAAGATCGTCGCGTTCGAGGGCGACCAGCTCGAGGAGGCGATCAACATCATCCGTCGCGGCAGGCCCGACCTCCTCGGCGCCGCGAACCAGGAGATCGAGCTCGACATCGACCAGCTCGATCAGGCGACCCTCCTCAACCTCTACCGCTACGTCTGCCCCGGCTCACAGCCTGCCACTCGCCCCATCCAGGCGCCTCAGCGCGCCGGGTCGTCCAAGCCCGCCAAGAGTGGGAACCGCAACGCCCGCAAGAACCTCGACGAGGACCTCGAGTCGCAGCGCATCGAGGCGCTCGAGGCCCAGCTCAGGCAGTTCGACCAGCCTGCCGAGTCGAGCGACGCTGGTGCGGTTCCGCAGGAGGGCGGAGGCGGCGGCGCGGCGCACGGTGAGGGCGACCAGGCTAGCAGCGACAGCTCGGACGACGACAGCGACTCGGACTCGGACATGGAGTGAACACTTTACCGCGCATCGATCTCTCGACTCGACTCGACTCGAACTCGCTCCTGCGCTTGTTGCCGTTCATCTCGCCTCTCTTCGCCTTTCTCAACTATACCCCCTCCGTTCCGCTTCGACTCCGTTTCCCGTACAGAGCGCTTGACCTAGGTCCCTTACTCTCCCCCTAACCCTCCCCTCTCGCGTCGTCGTTGTTTGGGTTTTGCCGTCGTCGTCGTCGAAATGTTGTGCCAGCCAACCGGTAGTCTCTACCTTGAACTCTTCGGAGCAATTCTACACCGTCGCAGTAGCAGATCAATGACGTGTCTGGCCCAGCAGGCAGCGTGAGAGCGGAAGCAAGCTGGTAAGGCACGGAGTTCTGGGGGAGAGGGAAGAACGACTAGCGTGACGATGGTCGCGGTCGAATCCCCGCAGCTCAACGTGCCCTCTGCTCCCTCGTAAGACTCCCGGAGCGCCAGCTGGACGAGTTGTCGGGGTCGCTGGTCGGTGAGTGAGGAGGATCGAGAAGTCGGCGGACAGCGGTTCCTGCACGTCGAGAGGACGTCTGGTCGAGCTGTATCAATGGCCAGGTATCTGTCACAGCTTCATAGCTCCTCAGCAAGCGTCCGAGCGGTTGGTGTGAGCGGTGCGAGGCAGTCCCTCTCCTCCGAACAGCACGGACTTCTTGGGAAGCGCCACTCCGCTCGAACTCTGCTCTTCCCGCTCGCTAGGCTGCCATGAGCGACCCACGCTTCGCACGGCTGCACACAGACCCGCGCTTCGTCCGGCCAAAGGCCAGCAAGTCCAAGCTGGTCGTTGACGACCGCTTCAAGCAGCTCTTCGAGGACGACCAGCGTGCGTCCGCTTCCCTGTGCTGACTGGGAGTGCTCGAGCTGACCTGTACAAGTGCACACAGCGACTGGCAAGAAGAGCAAGTTCGCTCGCAAGGTTGACAAGTACGGCCGGCCGCTCGAGAAGGAGGCGTCGGTCAACGAACTCAAGCGTTACTATCGCCTTGCTTCGCCCGAGGAGAAGGAGGAAGCAGGAGAGGAGGAGTCCGAGCTTGCAGAGGAGGACGACGAGGACGACGAGGACGAGGAGGAGGCGGAAGCTCCTGCCGGCGGCTTCGTCGACTACGCCCGTGGACAGGTCCTGCTCGAGTCTTCCGACGAGGAGGAGGCAGGCGCAGAAGACGAGTCGGGCGCAGAGTCGGACTCGTCGTCTGCGGCAGGATCCGTCACTCTCGGAGGACGTATCGCCCGTCGCCGCCAACTCTCGCGCAGCCCGTCTATCGACCTTTCCGAAAACGAGCCGACGAGTCTGTTCCCCGACGAAGACGACGAGGCAGCCGTCACGGATGCGGAGGAGGAGGAAGAAGACGTCGAAGCGACTCGCCGGATTGCCCTCGTTAACCTCGACTGGGACCACCTCCGCGCCTCCGACCTCTACCGCGTCCTCGCATCCTGCCTCTCCTCCACCGCCTCCGGCTCACAACCTCCTCCAAAGTCCCTTTCGAAGAAGGGAAAGAACAAGGCGGACGGCGATGATGTTGACGACATCAAGCTCTCGGCAAAGCTGAGCATCGCGCCTGGCCGGCTGCTCAACTTGCGCATCTACCCCTCGCAGTTCGGCCGGGAGCGGATGGAGCGCGAAGCGGTCGAGGGACCGCCTGTCGATGTCTTGCGCTCGAAGGGCGCCGAGACGGACGAGGAGGACGAGGGCGTGCTCAAGCTTGGAGGGAAGAAGGGAAAGGGAAAGGGGAAGCGGAGAAAGGACGAGGACGACGAGTTTACCGAGCGGGATCTCGTCGATGAGCAGTTGCAGGAGGGCGAGGATGATTACGACACGGAGGCGTTGCGGAAGTACCAGCTCGAGCGGTTGCGGCGAGTCTTTCCCATCACCCTCATCGATTGACGCTCGCTGACGCCGTTGCGCGAGCAGATACTACTACGCGATTGCGACGTTCGACTCGGCAGCCACGGCGCAGCATGTCTACCACCAGATCAACGGGACGGAGTTCGAGCGGACGGCCAACATGTTCGACTTGCAGTGCGTTTCGCATATCGGCTCCACCGTATACGCCCGCTGATTGCTGCTTGCACAGATTCGTTCCCGACGAGACCTCCTTCGAAGACGACCCTATCCACGACGCAGCGACCGAAGCCTCCGTCCTCGCCGAAGGGTCTTCCTACTCCGGCCTCGATTTCCAGACCGACGCGCTGCGACACTCCAAGGTCAAGCTGACCTGGGACGCCGACGACCCCCACCGGAAGACCAAGATCCAGACTTACCTGAACGCTGCGCTCGACAAGAGCAAGCAGAAGGGCTCGATGAAGGGCAAAGGGCGAGTTGCGGATGACGATATCGCGCAGTACCTCGCTTCGTCGTCGGATGAGGAAGAGGAGGAAGAAGAGGGCGAGGATGCGCACGACGACTTCTTCGAGTTCCCGGAGGAGGATGAGGCGGAGGAGAAGGACGAGCCGGCGATGGAGAAGAAGGACAAGAAGCTGTCCAAGCGCGAGCGATTGCGGAGCTTGCTCGGCTTGTCGGGCGAGGGCGGGGACGCGATGGAGATGACATGGGAAGGCGAGGCGCTCGGTGGCAAGAAGAAGAAGGGCGACGGCGAGATGCAGATCACGTTTGCGCCGGCGCTGTCGGAGCGGAGCGCGAAGCAGCTCGACCTCATCCAGGACGAGAAGCCGGAGACGTCGCTTGAGCGGTACAAGCGCAAGGAGAAGGAGCGCAAAGAGCGGAAGAAGGCTGAGCGGAAGGCGAGGATGGAGGGACGGCTGGGCAGCGATGACGAGCAGCACGGCGGCGCGGCCGACTTCCAGCCTCAAGGCGACGACAAGGGCTTCGACGACGACTTCTTTGCGGATGACGGTGAAGATCCGTTCGCCAAGTTCGACGCCGGCGTGGAGGACAGCGGTGACGAGATTGGCGTGTCGAAGAAGGGCAAGAAGGATGCGACGAAGCTGTCGAAGAAGGAGCGGCGGGAGCAGCGCGAGGCGGAGGAGAAGGCGAACGCGGAGGAGCAGGCCAAGCTTGCACTTCTCGTCGGCTCGGACGACGAGGACGATGTCTTGGGCGACGACGCGGCTGGCGAGGGCGGCCGTCATTTCGACATGCGCCAGATCCTCAAGGCTGAGAAGAACAAGGGCAAGAAGCGCAAGGTCAAGGGCAAGAAGGGCAAGAAGCTCGGCGACGAGACCGAGACGGTCAAGGACGACTTCAAGCTCGACTTGGCAGACGACCGCTTCAAGAGCTTGCACGAGGACTTTGACTTTGCCATCGACCCGTCGAACCCTCGGTGCGTGCCATCGTTTTTGCGGCTGTGCTGCGAACGCTGACCTCGTTTGCCTCGCCCGCAGCTTCCAGAAGTCGCGCAACATGGAGGCCCTTCTCGCCGAAGGTCGCAAGCGTCGCTCGGACAAGCACACGAAGACTCGCGCGCCCGTCACGGCGCCGTCGGAGAACGGCTCAGTCAAGCGGAAGGGGCCCGAGTCGGGAGAGACTGGCGGCGGCGAGGATCTCAGTCGATTGGTGGAGGCGGTCAAGCGCAAGGCGGGAGACGCGGGCGGACGAGGGAAGAGGACGAAGACGGCCTGAGTTGGCGTGACTTTGCATTACCTGCTCGCGTTCGAAGCCATCTCCCCATTGACGATTGAGAGACTCAAAAGTGTGCGATAGTTTACAGACAGACTCTGCCACGACGAGGATCAGAAGTCTCCGCCGCCATCGCCAAAGTCGCCTCCTCCGTCATCATATCCTCCGCCGTTATCCTGCGCATCTTGGTACCCATCCTCGTACGCGTTGTCCTGCATATTGTCAATCGCGTTCATCGCGACCATTCCACCGAGCAAACCAACTCCAGCTCCCGCGAGACCCATGCCCATCCCGCTTCCTCCGCCCATCCGGCCGCCGCCGAAGCGGGAGCCGCTCTGTGCGTACTGCGGCTGCTGCATGTACATGGGCTGCTGCTGCGGGTAGCCGCCGTAGGGAGCGCCTCCGTACGGCTGCGCTTGCGGATAGCCGTAGCCTGGCTGAGGGGGAGGCTGCTGATAGCCGCCGTAGGGTGGACCTGCGAGCGAAGCGCGGGCGTCAGTCAGCAACAAACAGAGATCGATGGGATCGTGCTTTGTGCGGCGGAAACCTCGCTCCATGGGATGCGCCGACTGACCTTGCTGTCCGTATCCACCTCCGTACCCCTGCTGCAGCGGTCCACCATACCCTCCCTGAGACTGCGATTGAGCTGATTGATAGGGCGGCGGGTTTGACTGCGCTCCGCCATTGCCGACAGACGGATAAGGCGAAGCCCTGCTTCCGTCGTTCGAAGGCGGCGGAGGACCGGACGGCGGGGCGTACGCCTGCGTCGACTTCGCGCCTCGCTCTTCGTCAGGGTGAACCCAGATCGAGCGTGGAGGAGTCGCGCGGGTGTCGACGTAAAGGTACTGTTTGTCTGCGAGCGAGGGGACGCCCGAGTGGTTTGTCAGTTCGCGGCGCTCGATACTGCCGGGACGTCACGAGTTCGTACTGAAGAGCTCGCTGCTCCCTACGTCCAGCCACGCCATGAGCCGGCCCTCGCGATCCTCCTGCCAAGCCTCCTTACGCAGGCCCCTCGCGACCGCCCGTCTCCCCTTCGTATTCCATGCTGAATCGCTCAGAAGCAATACTAGAGCACAAGAAATGACTCACAGTTGTCGTCCCACTGCTTGATCCAGCCTGGCGGGAGAGGTCGATTATCCGACATGGGGAGGAGATGAGGTGGTGGGGAGGGTCGAGAGGGAAAGCTGGGCCGGGAGTGCCGTTGTGAGACTTGTTGTTTGATCTGAAGCGGTGCAGCTAAGCAGAAACAGCCCTGAGCTGATGCGAGTGAGCGGTGAGGACGCAAGGTGTGCCCGAGGGTGGGGTCGAGGTCGACGACGGCAAAGTCTGCTTGCTACGAGGTGCGCTCGGGTCTTTGACACATGAAGGAGTGAGAGAAAGCGGAAGGACTCGAATCTCAACGAAGAATGAACATGCGTGACCGCAACGTTGTCACTTCTGGCCGTCTTGCGCGGTGAACAAGGACGACAGCTACCTGAGCGACCCGCTGTAGAGGGTGCAGGATCGTTTGTGTGCCGGATGCGGAAACATATCGTGACCGGAAGATCAGGAGGTCAAGGACGAAGCGAACGCCGCCAAGCGACCTCCATAACTGGTCAACTTGGGTCCCGCGCGCCCTCTGCGTCCCGTGCACTGGTATGCAGAGTGCCGTAGCTGCAAGGAATCGGTCTTTCATGTAGTCTGACAGTCGCAGCTCCAGAAGGCACATCGGAAAGCAACGCTTGAAGTTTGTCGTCGTCGTTAGATGCGGTGTGTAGCAAGCAGAAGCAGTCGATCCTTGACATGTAGCCCTTCTCCAACAGTATCGAAACGCCAGTAGGGCGTTAAAGCCGCCTTGCGCTCTAACGGAGGACCAGGTCGTCCAGGTCAGCAAGCACAGTAGAGCTCCTCAGCACTCAGCCGTCCGCTCACAGCGACGCGTCCCAGCCCGTCTCGCCCCGCATGCCTTATTACGCCCGAGATAGAGAAGAGAGCGTTGACGCGACCTCGCCGTCGTAGCAACCCGCCTGCAACGAATCGAGCCATCTTCGCCCGACGTCAAGCCGTGTTGGCCGCTCCAACCGTGCGCACGAATTCTCGGGCATCGAAGCGTCCGTTCGCCACGTTACACGTCCCGACATGCGGTGAATGAGGCGTGCAAGCAGTTCACTGATGAAGTCTGAAGGACGGGGAGAAGTCGGCGAGAAGAGCAGGGAGGAGCGCGACACAGCCTGGACAGCTTCGGGAGCTCTGCTCATCAGCCTTCCCGTACTCAAAGCCGTCTTTGAGCGTCGAAGCGGGACAGGCGAAGGGCAAACCGGTCTTCGAGCAAGTTGACGGACGACCACTCACGCTCACTCGCGCAGGCCGGGTTACCTGAGTGCTCACAGCCCCACTAAGCCAGCATGGTGCGTCTTGACGTGTGCTGCTTCTTTCCCGCTGCGCGGCTGACTCCCCTGCTCCGCCTCGACTCTCGCTCGCTTCGTCGCCGTCTGCCGACCAGTCTTCGCACAAATGGTCCCGACCAAAGCCCTTGCCGGTCGGTGTGACGACCAGTCTGTCGCTCGAGCAGCAACAGATCCTCGCAGCGGTGCCAGTGCGTTGGCGAGACCTGCTTTCTCCCTGGACGACCCGTTCGCTGACCCCTTACTTCGTTGTACTTGCTTTGCAGCGGTGGAAGAAGGCCTGGGTGCGACCGTCGACGCTGAAGCCAGGCCAGAACCCGAACTTCAAGAGTACGTCGTCCCTCCCCCCGAATCAACACGCGACTCACCCTCTCGCTTCGTGCAGTCCTGAAGTGGGTCATCGATACAGACCAGGACAAGTCTGAAGGGACGGAAGAGGAGATGCAGGCAGCGTTGCAGGAAGTCGCGGCGGGCAACATCCCTCTACCGGGCAGTTCGGGCGGCATCAACGCAGACGGGACTATCACCCTCGACTTTGGCAGTGGCGCTCCCTCGCTACCCGCCTCTGGCACAGCAACACCCGCTCTGCCTCCTGCCGCACCTCCTCTCGCAGCACCAGTCCCTGCCTCGACTCTCCAAGCCTCTTCCAATCCGATCGCGCTCGTTCAGCATGCAAATCCTGCGAAACCAGCGACTGGTCCTGCGCCTTCCGGTGCAGAACCGAGCGTCAAGGAGGCGGTGAAGGGACTGGAGGACGTGGATATGCAGGACGTCACGACAGATCAGGGTCCGGCGGTTGGGCGAGATGAGCGGAGTCTCGTACAGGAGGATCAGACGGCGGCGCAGCCATGAGCGGGCGGATAGGCTTACATCTAGTACCTTTGCGGTCTTGTTGTAACGATAGCAGGTCTCCCGAGACTTCAAATTCGGAAGGACAGCGAGCGTTTCACCACACTTCGCCGTCTCCCGAGTAATACCCATCCATCGCCTCGCCTGTACCTTCCCATCCGTCCACCTCCTCATCCCAGTCGTCGTCTCCCTCGCCATCCTCGACTTCGACTCCTTCAGCCTCGCCATCCTGCTCCTCATCCGCCAGGTCCAGCAATCCGCCTTTCCGCCTTTGGCCTGCGATTGGCTCGCCCAACAAACGTGCTACCTGCTGCTCCTTCGCAAGCGAGGAGAGCGTGTGTCGGCCGTTTTGGGTCGACTTGCGGGGCGAGTTCGCGCGGAGCGACAGGATGGCGGCGAGGTCGGCAGGGAGATTAGACGTGTCGGGCTGATCGTCGACGGCCTCGGGTGCGCCGTTAGACGGCGCAACGGCGAGTGTCGAGAGGAGGTTGGTTCGGCCGCGCTGCGTAAAAAGCCATGTGTTGTCCACATTCTCCTCGTCTTCTTTCGATCCTGGATCGCTCTGCATGACGTCGACGACCATCTCGTCTCCTTCTTCGTCTCCATCCTCCCTTTCCTTCTGCGAGTTCGCATGTCGAGCCTTTCGCCCCGCTCTCGCCTTCCACCCCTTCTCGTGGATGATCAGCCGCGCCTTTCCTCCCCCTTCCTGCTCTTCGTCCGACAGCGCAATCACGATCTCGCCCTTCTGCGAGGAGACGACATGACCGTCTCCCTCCTCCGCCTCCTCCTCCTCGAAGTCCATCTCGCCAGCCTCGTTCTCCTCGCTGGCCTTCGCCTTCGCCTTACCCTTGCCCCCCGCCCGCTTCGCCGGCGCCTTCCGCTTCGACGGCACAGCCGCATCGTCCGCCGCAGCCCCAGCCTTCTTCCGCTTCCCACCCCTCGTACCCTTGGCCTTCTTCGCTTCCTCCTCCTTCTTCGCCGTGTCGGCCCAGAAGTCCTCCTTCTCTCCGTCGGTGCCGTTGACGCTTGCCGCAGCCGCGGTGGAAGAGAAGGGAAGCGATGTCGCGAATGGTGTGGGCTTGTTGGAGATTTGCGAGGCGGGTTGTGGAGAAGCGGCGGGCGGGAGAAGGGGTTTGAAGGGTTTGCTCGGGCCCGGCTGCGATGATGAAGGTGTAAAAAGGGGAAGAGAGGACGGCGGGGCGTCGTCGATGGATGGCAGGAGGCTGAAAGATTTCTTCGAGGCGAGCGAAGAGGAGGGCTTGACCGGTGACGGTCCGAAAACCTCGTCGTCATCTTCAAGTCCGGCGCTGTCGAGGCCGGCTTGCGTAGTTGGCGCAAGTGAGCGTTGTGAGGAGAATACCGAACGTTGAGAAGAAAAGGATGACGCCGGCGCGCCGAAGAACTCGTCCACCTCATCGACCTCCATCGCTGAGCTCGCCGCCGAGCTAGTCCTCGCAAACGGCCTCTCGCCCAGTGTCGCCGCACTGCCCCATCCAGCGCCTGCAGCAGTCGCCTTGGTCCCCAGTACTCCTCCGCCTCCCTTGCCTACCAGCTTGGCTTTCCGTTCCTTCTCCTCCTTCTTCCGCTGCTTCAGCCTTTCCCGCTCGGCCTTCTCCAGTGCAGCGAAAGAGCCCGCTCCTTTCGTCGGTGACGCAAAGGGATTCGATGCGCGCTTCTGAGGCGAAGAAGGGAAGTGGGAAGGCTGGTTTGGCGAGCCGGTCGAGGAATGTAAGGCTGCGAGGGCGCGAATCTTGGACGGCGAGTTGGCGAGGACGTAGCGTGTAGTCGTCGTGCTAGACTGAGATTCCGACTCGCGCGTCTTTGAACCGGAAAGTCGGCGAGAGGGAGAGGCAGGTCCGGCGGTCGTCTCGGAAGACAAGTCGACATCGTTCGTGCTGCTTGCCGCTGGTGCGCGTTGGCGAGCAGTCTTAGGCTTGGTTGGCGTCCGGAACGGGTTCGAGGAGGATGATGCGGAGGCGGACGGGGCTGCCAGAGGTCGACTTGATGAGGAGGACGAGGAGGCCTTCTTCGCCTCCTTGCCGGACGACGCCTTCGATTTCGCGTAGTCTCTGTACTTCTTCGCTGCATTCGACAGTCGCAAGCCAGTCAGCCCGAGCGTGACAGGCGAGAGAGACGCGTTTCGAGAGTCGACGAACCAATGTCGGGTCGCTGCTTGATGTCGTCCTTCGAGGGATCCCGGCCGTGCTCAGCCCGGAACTGCTGCTCGAACTGCTTCAGTTCCTGCCGCAGCGAAGCCATCTCGAGCCGGTCGAGCGGTGGTGGTCGAAGCCAAGCTGCGGAGTCGGCTCTTTCGCTGGAACAATCTACTCAGGACGGACTCCTTGCTTGAATAGACGCCCAAGGCTCTCAAGGGACCATTGCAAGGCAGACAGCGCCGCGAAGTCGAGCTCACCCATGCCTTGCTCTCTTCCTTCTCTCCGCTCCTCTCCTCGACGTCTCCAGAAGCCCTCCGTGATGATTCTTTTGTGCCCGGATGAGAGAGGCGAAGAGCCTGTTCGCGTGCCGGGTGCTTGGCCCTGCCGGCGAGTGCGACGTCGCCTGTTCGAGGGACGCTCTCCCCTTCCTCGCTCCTCTACCGCCGGCCGTGAGACGGGGGAGGCAGAATTGCCGGACAATCACCTCGACAGCTCTTGGGCGGTCCTGCGAGAGGGCAAGTCGACCTCACAACGCCTGCATCAGTCGCCAGCCGCTGGTTTAGCGGCGCGGGTCGCTGCGATTCCCTCGAGCGCTAGCAGCGCTCATCTCGCCATCCAGCCATGATGCTCAGCAGAAACCACATGTCGGCCGAGGGCTATGATCCAGCTAAGTAACAAGCAGAGGAGCAGGAGGATGTCTGCAAAGAGCTGCTGGGCGAAAGACAGCAGGCCAGGAGACAACCAGTTGCACTGTCGTCGAGGCGCGTGCCAGCGACTAGGCGATGCGCTAGTATCCCGCCCGTGCCTTCAAAGCGCCCGCCAAACCCGTGCAAAGCGCTCAGTCGACCGTCCGAGATGTCGAGGACGAAGGGAGTCAGCAGTGACAAGGAAGCCGCGCGAGGACCGTGCGACGGTATCTGCCCGTCCGCGAGCAAGATCTGAGCCAGTGCGAGCAGCCTACACGTTTCCAGCTGGTGCGAGGCGGCGACGAGGCGCGGCGAGAGGCAAGGGAGCAACTCTCCCACCCACGCCCGACTGCCACTCGCTGGCAGCGCACGATAGGGACGCTTGCTGTGTCTGCTAGTGGCTCACGAGTGACCGCGACCACCGCCCACACCCGCCCGAACCGCCTGCAGCCGTCCCCGTTCCTCCCATCTCCCTCCACACCCACACTCGCTCGACATACCGCCGTACACGCGCTCAGGGCACGCCAGACCGGCTCAGTAGAGTTCATCGACGAGCACTCGACCGTCCAGGAGCGGCACGGAGCCTCGCGCGCTCGCACTCGTCTCGCTCGCCTCGCCTCGCCCGGTCAGTCGACCCGCGTCCGCCACATCGCATCTCGCCCACGCAGGACAGTCTAGCCCAGCATGCTTGGACACGAGTTTGCTCACTCGACGCAGTGCGTTCCCTTCCTCGCTCTCAGCGTGTTGTGGAGGCGGGTTGGAGAGACGCTGACTTGGGGGAGCACCTTCGCATGGCGACTACACAGGCCGATCAAGCGTCCGCGCACGATTCAGTTCGGCGTGCTCTCGCCTGAAGAAATCAAGGCTATCTCGGTGTGCAAGGTTGAGTACCCGGAGACGTTCGAGGAGGGCAATGCGAAGCCGGTGAGTCGCGTCTCCCATCTCTCGCTTCGTCGCTTCCTGGCGTTGCTGGGGCCGAGCTGATATTCGAGTATGGTGGCCACAGAAAATGGGCGGACTAAGTGACCCGCGGCTGGGGACGATCGACCGCAACTTCAAGTGCGCGACTTGCGGCGAGGGAATGGCTGAGTGCCCGGGTCACTTTGGACACATCGAGCTCAGTCGCGCGGTGTATCACGTTGGTGAGTAGACAGACGCGCAGACCGTCACCCGTGGCCCTGAGCGCGACGTGGGCGGGTTTTCTCTCGAGTAATCTGCTCACCCATTTCGTTCCACAGGCTTCATCAACAAGGTCAAGAAGATCACCGAGTGCATCTGCGTGCAGTGCGGCAAGCTCAAGGTCTCGCCCGCCGAGGACCCTCGACTCGCCGATGCCGTCCGCTTCGTCCGCGACCCGAAGAAGCGACTCGCCGTCGTCCACGCGCTCGTCAAGGGCAAGAACTCTTGCGACATGACGATCATGGACGAGGAGACGCAGGCGAAGATTGCTGCTGGCGAGCCTGTCCCGCCTGGGCACGGAGGATGCGGGCATGAGCAGCCGCAGATTCGCAAGGAGGGGTTGAAGCTCTTCCTGCAGTACGGCAAGGGCAAGGACGAGGTGAGCTTCTCTTCTTGATCCGTCCTCTGTCCCCCATGTACTGTCCCTCGGGGTCGTCATGGCGGGACAGAGCGGTCTTGAGAAGCTCTTTAGACCTGTTCGCTCACCGCTGTTTGAGGATCCCTTCCTCCCCTACGCGATGTCTCTCAGGATGGCAACGCGCAAGCGCCCGACCGCCGACCGTTTACGGCGACGCAGGCGCACACGCTCTTCCGCAAGATCTCGGACGAGGACCTGCATACCATGGGTCTTTCGGCGACCGAGGCGCATCCCGCCTGGATGATCCTCACCGTATTGCCCGTCCCGCCTCCGCCTGTCCGCCCTTCGATCGCTGTCGACGGAGGTGCGATGCGAGGAGAGGACGACTTGACGTACAAGCTCGCCGAGATCATTCGGACGAACTCGTCGTTGCGGAAGTTCGAGGAGGAGGGCGCGCCCGCGCACGTCATCAACGAGTTCGAGACGCTGCTCCAGGTGCGTTGTTCTCGCTCGTATCGTTCCGCAGCGCAGGCGCTGACTGTATCTCCTCGCGCAGTGGCACATCGCGACCTACATGGACAACGACTTGCCCGGCCAGCCTCAAGCTCTGCAAAAGTCCGGCCGACCGGTCAAGTCTATTCGTGCGCGTCTCAAGGGCAAGGAGGGTCGTCTGCGTGGCAACCTGATGGGCAAGCGTGTCGACTTCTCGGCTCGTACCGTCATCACGGGCGACCCCAACCTCGCGCTCGACGAGGTCGGCGTGCCGTACTCGATTGCACGGACGTTGACGTACCCTGAGCGCGTGACGCCGTACAACATCCAGGACTTGCAGACGCTGGTGAGGAACGGGCCGAACGAGTATCCCGGTGCTCGCTACGTCGTTCGCGACACGGGCGACCGAATCGACTTGCGGTACAACAAGCGCGCCGACACGTTCCTCCAGTACGGCTGGATCGTCGAGCGACACCTCAAGGACGGCGACATCGTCCTCTTCAACCGGCAGCCGTCGTTGCACAAGATGTCGATGATGGCTCACCGCGTCAAGCTCATGCCGTACTCGACCTTCCGCCTCAACCTCTCCGTCACCTCGCCCTACAACGCCGATTTCGATGGCGACGAGATGAACTTGCACGTCCCGCAGTCGGAAGAGACTCGGTCGGAGTTGATCAACATCGCCGCCGTCGCGCGAAACATCATCTCGCCGCAGGCCAACAAGCCGGTCATGGGTATCGTGCAGGACACGCTGTGCGGTATCCGCAAGTTCACCCTCCGCGGCTGCTTCATGGACCTCGAGTTCATCCAGAACATCCTCCTCTGGGTGCCCGAGTGGGACGGCGTCATCCCTCCTCCCGCCATCCTCAAGCCGAAGCCGCTCTGGACCGGCAAGCAGATCCTCTCGATGTGCATTCCCGCCGGCATCAACCTGTACCGCGCCTCGGGCTCCGGCACAACGAACCCACCCGAAGACGACGGCATGTTCATCGAGGACGGCCAGGTGATGTTCGGCACGGTCGACAAGAAGACGGTCGGCACGTCGCAGGGTGGCTTGATCCACGTCATCTACCGCGAGAAGGGCCACGAGGTCTGCCGCGACTGGTTCTCGGGCGTCCAGAAGGTCGTCAACTTCTGGCTCCTCCACAACGGCTTCTCGATCGGTATCGGCGACACCGTCCCCGACAAAGGAACGATGGAGGCCATCACCGGCTTCATCGACACGGCCAAGCGCGAGGTCAGCAACATCATCCAGCAGGCGCAGAACGACCAGCTTGAGCCCGAGCCCGGTATGACCGTCCGCGAGTCGTTCGAGTCCAAGGTCACGCGCGCGCTCAACCAGGCCCGTGACTCGTCCGGACGGAGCGCCGAGCGCTCGCTCAAGGCCGACAACAACGTCAAGCAGATGGTCGTCGCCGGCTCGAAGGGCTCGTTCATCAACATCTCGCAGATGTCGGCGTGTGTCGGCCAGCAGATCGTCGAGGGCAAGCGGTGTCCGTTCGGCTTCAAGTACCGCACCCTGCCGCACTTTGCCAAGGACGACTATTCGCCCGAGGCGCGCGGCTTTGTCGAAAACTCGTACTTGCGAGGTGAGCGCTCTTCCTAGCTGTTCTTTCCGAGCGACTACTGACTCTCTCGCTCGCAGGTCTCACGCCCCAAGAGTTCTTCTTCCACGCCATGGCCGGACGCGAAGGATTGATCGACACGGCCGTCAAGACCGCCGAGACCGGATACATCCAGCGTCGTCTCGTCAAGGCGCTCGAGGACGTCATGGTCGCGTACGACGGCACGGTCCGCAACTCGCTTGGCGACGTTGTCCAGTTCTGCTACGGCGAGGACGGCATGGACGGAGCCTTCATCGAGGAGCAGGTCGTCGAGCCGATCCGGTTGTCGGACGCGCGCTTCGAGAAGCGGTACAGGGTCGACATCACCGACCCGACCTGGCACTTCAAGCCGGGTACGCTTCACGTCGACCTCGCTCCGCCCGAGAACACCGACCTTCAGACTGTCCTCGACTACGAGTACGAGCAGCTCAAGCGGGATCGGGCGACGCTGCGCGAGGTCTTCCCGAAGGGCGACCCGACCGTCTCGCTCCCCGTCAACCTCCGTCGTGTCATTCAGAACGCGCAGCAGATCTTCCACATCGACTTCCGCAACGCCAGCGACATCCCGCCTGCCGACATCGTCGAGACGGTTCGCGACCTCTGCGACCGTCTCGTCGTCATCCGCGGCAAGGACGACCTGTCGGCCGAGGCGCAGAACAACGCGACCCTCCTCTTCCGCATCTTCCTCCGGTCGGTCCTCGCCGTGCGGCGAGTCATCGAGGAGTACCACCTCAACCGCGAGGCGTTCGAGTGGGTTGTCGGCGAGGTCGAGTCCAAGTTCAACGCCTCGCTCGTCGCGCCGGGCGAGATGTGCGGCACGCTCGCGGCGCAGTCGATTGGTGAGCCGGCGACGCAGATGACGCTCAACACGTTCCACTACGCCGGTGTGTCGTCAAAGAACGTCACGCTCGGTGTACCGCGTCTCAAGGAGATCATCAACGTCGCCGTCAACCTCAAGACGCCGTCGACGACCGTCTACCTCGACCCGGACTATGCCAAGGACATCCAGCTCGCGAAGGAGGTCCAGACTCGCCTCTCGTACACCACCCTCCAGACCGTCACCGCGTCGACCGAGATCTTCTACGACCCAGACCCGACAGCGACCGTCATCGAGGATGACCGCGAGTTTGTCGAGGCGTTCTTTGCCATTCCCGACGAGGACGTCGAGGCGAACCTCCACCGTCAGTCGCCCTGGCTGCTCAGGTTCGAGCTCGACCGCGCAAAGATGCTCGACAAGAAGCTCGAGATGCACTATGTTGCGGGCAAGATCGCCGAGACGTTCGAGCAGGATCTCTTCGTCATCTGGTCGGAGGACAACGCCGAGAAGCTCGTCATCCGTTGCCGTGCGCTCAAGTCGGCGGACGCGGACAAGGAGGGCGGCGACGAAGACGAGGACGACGAGGACGTCTTCCTGAAGCAGCTCGAGTCGCAGATGCTTGGCTCGATCGCGCTCTCAGGCGTCGAAGGCATCGACCGCGTGTTCATGATGGAGCAGAAGCGGCCGCAGCTGAATGCGGCAGGCGAGTTCCACACGCCGAACGAGTGGGTCCTCGAGACGGACGGCATCAACCTGCGCAAGGTCCTCTGCACCGAAGGCGTCGACGCCAGGAGGACCATCTCGAACTCGTGCGTCGAGATGCTCGAAGTGCTCGGCATCGAAGCGGCGCGCGCGTCGGTCCTCCGCGAGTTGCGCAACGTCATCGAGTTCGACGGCTCCAAGGTCAACTACCGCCACTTGTCGATGCTCACCGACATCATGACGAACCGAGGCTCGCTCATGGCCATCACCCGCCACGGCATCAACCGTGCTGACACGGGTGCGCTCATGCGCTGCTCATTCGAGGAGACGGTGGAGATCCTGATGGAGGCAGCGGCGGCGGGAGAGACGGACTACTGCACGGGTGTCGCCGAGGCAGTCTTGCTCGGCCAGCAGCCGCCGATGGGCACGGGCGCCTTCGAGCTCTCGCTCGATTTGAACAAGCTCCAGGAGGTCATTCCCGACCACCGCTTGCCGCCGCCGCCGAACATGCAGATCGACGCGGTCATGGACGGTGGCCGGACGCCCGGGGGAGGAGCGACGCCGTACGCCGACTTGTCGGAGGGCAAGACGCCCGCCTACTATGGCCAGCAGGAGCAGCTCGGCATGGCCATGTTCTCGCCGATCATCCAGCCCGGACAGGACGGCATGTACGACCAGGGAGGCTTCGGTGGAGCATCGCCCTTCGGCGGCGCCTCTCCCTTCGGCGGAGCATCGCCGTTCGCGGGTGGCCAGTCGCCCTTCTCGGGCGGGCAGTCGCCGTTCGGCGCGGCGGGATACTCTCCGTGTGTCGCGACTCCTCCCCTTCGCGATTTGCTTTCTAGCTGACCCGTTCTCGCTCGCAGAACCTCTCCCTTCGGTGGCGCGTCGCCTTACAACCCGCGGTCGCCAGGACCGTCGGGCGGCGCCTCGCCCTGGGTCAACCGGTCAGGCGGCGGCGGCTACTCGCCGACGAGTCCGCTCATCGGCCAGTCACCCGCCTCTCCTCGCTTCTCCCCCGCCTCGCCCAACTACTCGCCAACCAGCCCCGCCTTCTCTCCCGCCTCTCCTCGCTTCTCGCCTGCCTCTCCCGCTTTCTCCCCAGCCAGCCCGCGCTTCTCACCCGCGAGCCCGGCGTTCTCACCCACCTCCCCCGCCTACTCTCCGACCAGCCCAAAGTTCTCCCCAACCTCTCCAGCCTATTCGCCCACGAGTCCCAAATTCTCGCCTACCTCTCCCGCGTACTCTCCAACGAGTCCCAAGTTCTCGCCCACTTCTCCCGCCTACTCGCCTACCTCTCCCGCCTTTTCTCCCGCTTCGCCATCGTACTCACCTCGCAGTCCTGGCAGCGGCGGAGGAACAGGCGCGGACGGCGCGAATGGCTCGCAGCAGCAGCAGAGGCAGAACGCGCCTTACTCGTCGTCGGCGTCGTGGAATCGTTGAGGTTCGGGAGGTGTAAGACGCAAGGGCTTGGTTTGAGGGTGGTCTTGCAATGACTGAAAAGCTTGCAGTCGATTTGCTTCGAGCATCGAAAAGAGAGAAGGGTTTGCGCATTGCTGTTCGGTGAAGGAGTTGCGAGGCTGCTCGGTTCGCATGTCATGCTCGCATTGCACAGCGCTCGCATGCAGTATGCGGACAGGAAGCGAGGGAGCCAAGAGGGAGCTGCGTTCGCAGGCGACGGAGAAGTCGGGACCTTCTCACCCTCGCTGCGCGCGGACCTTCTCCTCGTCGACTTGCGCTCGAGTTCTGCGGATTTGTAGAACGTGTCAGGGCGCGATAGGCTGACTCGGCACTAGCCTGAAGCGCCGTGGGACGCGAGAACGACGACCTTTCCCCTCCTCCTCCTCACCTCTCACAACGCCGCAACGCCTCTCGTCCCACGATCATCCTCGCCTTGCGTTCGTCGTTCGCCAAAGGCCCCCGTCGCCTAGCCCGAGCCCGTGGTCACTCCGACTGACTCCCGCGCATCGTCGACCCCGCCTTCTCCTCGTCGTCCCGCTCTTTTTCGTGGAACGAACGGGGTGCGGGAGGTTCTGGGGCAGCTGTTTTGAGGGTGCGCTGTTTGCGTCTCCCCGCTTCTTTCCTCCCAGGCCCCCCAGCAGGAGGAACGTAGGATGCGGGAGGAGGAGGAGGAGAAGCTTCTTCAGCCTCACAGAACAGCTGCGGCGGTCGCAGGGAGAATGAAGGCGAGCCTCCGTTCGACGCTCCTGAATGGGCTGCGCTGGAAATAGCCTCAATGAATCAATGGCTGGGCGTCGAGAAAAGGGGTTGAACGCTGCGTTGAGGAGGACGAGGTTGCTCCCACGACCTGCGCTCGACACGGCGCTCTAAGTGGATCGTCCTTCAGTATCCCGGGAGTCGTTACGAAGCTGGCCGAACTCGAGCAACAGTGAAAACTTTGAGACAAGGCGGACCGAAGTGACGTTCTTGTGCTGGGCTTGCGCTCACCCTCGTTTTCCACGCTCGCCTACAACTTGCTGCTCGCTCTGTTTCCACTCTCAATCAACTTATAACTCAGTCTATTCACACTCACACGCAACCATGGCACCCACCCGCCCCGAAGCCGTCTCGACCGCCAGCACCGAATCACTCCACCAGCTCCCCTCGGGCGCACAGACGCCCGCCGCAGAGGTCCCCTCGCGCGCTGGATCCCCGCTCGGGTTCCACATCCCATCCCTCCCTGGATCTCGCGCGGCATCGCCCACAGCGACCCCGGGGTCGTCGAGGCCGCCGTCGCCCCTCCTCCGCGCCATGACCAACCTCTCGATGAGCCAGAAAAAGCAGCGCAAGGAGGGTCAGCAGGACGGCAGCGACGACGAGACGGACAAGGAGGGCGACGACGGCGAGAAGGAGCGTCGTCCGTCGTTGGGAGAGTCGCTCTCGCGCAAGGGTTCCCTTAAGGCCCCTCTCCCCCGTCGCGGTTCCTCGCCCGCTCTCGCTCCTTTCCTCGCCAAGTACGACGAGTTCACCGGCTCGCCCTCGGGCAAGCTTGAGAAGATTTGCGTCATCGGCAGTGGGTCGTGGGGAACCGCGCTCGCTCGTCTCGCCGCCCAGAATGCCGCCGAGAAGGACGGGTGCGTGCCGGTTGTTGCTCGCTTCCGTGTGAGAAGCGACGAGGACTGACTGATTGTAATACGGCAGCTTTGACGAGGAAGTCCGCTTCTGGGTCCGCCAGCGCGAGGTGCGTTCTCCGTCTCGCTCGAGCCGCGTACTCGCGAACGGACATCCGATCTGACTGTCTACACCGCAAACAGATCCCCGGCAAGGGCCTCTTGACCGACATCATCAACGAGACGCACGAGAACGCCCGCTACCTGCCCGAGATGAAGCTACCGGAGAACCTCGTCGCGGTCCCGTCACTCACCGAGTGTGTCAAGGGCGCGACCTTGATCGTCTTTTGTGTACCTCATCAATTCTTGCCGCCGGTCATCAAGGAACTCTCGCAGCCCGGCGTGCTCGAGAAGGGCGCTCGCGCGATTTCGGCTATCAAGGGTATCGACGTCGATGTCAAGACCGCCGAGATCTACACTTATCCCTCCATCATCGAGAAGAAGCTCCGCCTGCCTTGCTCGGCGCTCGGAGGAGCCAACATTGCGCTCGAGGTCGCCAACGAAGAGTTCTGCGAGACGACGTGGGCCACCGAGTCTCTCTCCCTCTCGCCGCTGTGCCCTCGCTGACACTTGTGCACGCGCAGGATCGGTTGCCCCGGGCCCGAGGACTGCGCGCTGTGGGAGGCCGTCTTCTCGACCGCCATGTTCCGCGTCCACGCCGTCGAAGACGTCGCTGGCGTTTCCCTCTCCGGCGCTCTCAAGAACGTCGTCGCCCTCGCCGCAGGCTTTGTCGACGGCCTCAAGATGGGCGGCAACACGAAAGCGGCGATCATCCGCATCGGCCTCCTCGAGATGTCGGCCTTCACACTCGAGTTCTTCCCCTCGGCTTCGGCGCACACCTTCTCTCACCACTCGGCTGGCGTCGCGGATCTGATCACGACATCCTTCGGCGGACGGAACCGCAAGTGCGCCGAGGCGTTCGTCACGTCTGGCAAGACGTTTGACGAGCTCGAGAAGGAGTTGTTGAATGGGCAGAAGCTGCAGGGCGTCGCGACGGCAGAGGAGATCTATGCGTTCCTCAAGGCA